TAATATTGCAACCGGCAATTATGTTAAGGGCCTGGTTCTGTATTTTGTCGAGGGTTTTTTTTGTGTAGTTTGAGGCCGAGTCTCACAAGACTAGGGAAAATAAGGAAACGTACAGAGCCTGTAGAAACGCAGCCAATGCTACCATCAGGGCGGAAAAAGAAACCCATTGGAGAAAATTTTGCCAATCTATAGGCCCATCCAGCCACATCACAGACATCTGGAGGAAGATGAAGGCTATACAAGGGTCCTCAACAAAAAAAATAATGCCAGCCATAAAGCGGCCCGAGCTTGCAACAACAGATAAAGAGAAGGCCGAAGTTCTAGCTAAACACTTCCACCAGGTTAGCTCAGACGAAAGCCTTGGTAAAGCCGAGACAGACAGAAGAGAAAGAATGAAAAATAACCTGGAGGACCGGAGCGCTCACACAGGCCACGCCGATTACCTCAACGCTCCAATTACAGTACAAGAAATTAAAAACGCTATAAACAAAAAAAAGAACACTGCTTCAGGCACAGACATACTTAGCTATGAATTAATTAAAAAGCTGCCATTAGAAACAATTCTTATCATAGCCGACCTTTTTAACCTTATCTGGAGCTCAGGAAAAATCCCAGTAAAATGGAAACTAGCCACAATAATTCCCATCCTTAAACCAGATAAATCCCCACACGAAGCAGAGTCGTATCGGCCCATATCCCTGACGTCTCATCTAGGAAAAGTTCTGGAAACAGTTGTCAACACAAGACTAAACTTCTTCCTAGAAAAAAATAATTTACTGAGTCTTAACCAGTCAGGCTTCAGAAAAAATCGAAGTACAGTGGACCAGATACTTCGACTGGAAAGCGACGTCAAGGCTGCCACCAAAAAAAGGGAACACACAGTAGCCATTTTTCTCGACGTGGCCAAAGCCTACGACACCTGCTGGACATGGGCGATAACCCACAAAATTAAAAAATTAGGAATAGGAGGCCCCATACTTAGTTATATAACAGACTTTCTATCAGACAGAATGATGCAGGTCAGGGTAAACGACCAATATTCCAACACATACAAGCTAGAAAATGGAATACCCCAGGGATCGGTCATTGCCCCCACACTGTTCTCCATCATGGTGAACGACCTAGATAGTGAATTCACGGACGTAAAGAACTCCCTGTCCCAATATGCTGACGACTCCTCCACATGGCGGTCAGGCAAGTCCATTACGAAAATTAACAGGGAGTTACAGGCTCAGTTGGATAAAATGATGGAGTGGATGGACCAATGGGGTTTCAAGATAAACGCATCCAAAACTGTAGGAATGGTCTTCACTCACAAAAAATCACGCACCATCACCAAACAGGTCTCACTAAAAATTAACAATACAGTCATAAAAATAGCCCAGGCCACAAGGTTCCTAGGAGTCACTCTTGACCCCATGCTGACCTGGAACACACATATAGAAGGCATAGCACAAAGCTGCAAGGGTATGCTCAATATGATGAGATACCTAAAAGGTCACAGCTGGGGTGCCAGGACTGAGTGCCTGTTAATTTTCTACAAATCCTTTGTAAGGGGCAAAATAGACTATGCCAGCATAGTTTATCTATCCTATCGAAAAGCGTGGTTTTATACCAACTCTGATTTTAAAAACTTTCATTATGCTGTAATACTTTAGCATTTATGATGACGATATATTAAATTCTTATTATAGACAAAAACATCTTGTAAACACGAATAGTGTTAAACATTTTTATTATATTCTGAAGTAATTATTTATTTGGTTTGACATTTATAATTAAATATGTAGATATATACATATTTATATTAAGAGAGTAATTATTGCCCCTATTTCACTTGTCTTAAATAATTTCCCAGGAATTTGTATGCAAGAAATTTTGTTTACAAGAATTACAAAACAGATTGTGTTACGTTCATTGTTTTTGTTTGTAGTGTGTGTATATTTTTTTTTTACATTGTGTGTTTTTTCTTATTTCTTCAGAGAGCTACGTTCAATTTATTTTACATCATAGCGAAGTAATGACATACAGCTAGTAATTTTATATATATATAGGGCCTATATATATATATATATATATATATATATATATATATATATATATATATATATATTTATATATATATATATATATATATATATATATATATATATATATATATATATATATATATATATATATATATATATATATATATATATATATATATATATATATATATATGCCTATATATAAAATACACGTATATAGAACGTGGTAAAAATTCGGCGCCTTTTTTTGCACTTTTCGCTCCCCCTACAACGAAAACCTGGATACGCCTCTGGTAACGGGGTCGTTGGTCTCGAATTTGTGAGTTGTGTTTCTAAAACACCCAAAACTAAGTCCTGTCATCCCTTGTTTCACTATGGTTTGATCTGTTCCGCAGTTGAAACCCTATTTCAGAAGATTCCATTATTATTGCATTATTGAACAGTTATGGTAAAATTAAACTCCCCTTCCCAACCCCCTATATTGTCGCATCAAAAAATACTGTTGACTTTTTTTCGCGTGACAATGCGATGTCGTAATTGACGTAACAAAGTCACAGATTATTGATTATGTAACATCAGTTACTTCATTGGAAACAGAGTTTCTTCCAGGCATTTCTTCGAGGGGGGAGCCCCCCCCCCGAATTTTTTTACCGCCCCCCCCCCCCCCCCGAACGAAATGAAATTTATATAATTTATACAGAAAATATATACTTTTAACAGTTTCCGCCCCCCCCCCCCCCCCGAAGAAAGTTTACCCCCCCCCCCCCCCGAAAATTTCAAGTGCACCCCCAGAGAAAAAAGTCTGGAAGAAACACTGATTGGAAAATGTTATGTGCAGGCATAAGCTGGTCTTGACTTTGTGGGTTGTGTTACTAAAACATTCAAAATTAAGTCCTGTCTTTCCTTTTTTTCGCAATGGTTTGATCTGTTCTGACCCCTTATTTCTACTTCGAGTAAAATAAACTATATTCAGCTTTATTTTGTAAAAGATTCCTCTTTCGACCTAACGATCCATTGGGCAGATGAAGGGGCGTTCATATGTTTCTTAACCTTGGCATATAAAGGGATAATGCGGTCAGCACTATGCCCAGCCGCCTTTACTTTCTCTAACGTGAGTTGGGTGGACTCATGGACGTTCCACTAACTTGAACCAGGATTTGAACTCGAACCTATCGGGTTAGCAGTCTAGCGCTCCACTGCAAGGCAAAGCCGTCATCAGAGTTTCTTCCAGGCATCTCTTCGGGGGGGCTTTGCCCCCCCGAAAAATTTTTACCGCCCCCCCCCCCCGAACGAAATGAAATTTATATAATTTATATAGAAAATATATACTTTTAACAGTGTCCGCCCCCCCGAAGAAAGTTTACCGCCCCCCCCCCCCCGAAGATTTCAAGTGCCCCCCCGGAGAAAAAAGTCTGGAAGAAACACTGGCCGTCATCTATATTGTGTTGAGAGATTATCCATAAATAAATACCATTATCTACACACACACACAAAATATTCTTACTAGAATAAGCATATTTTTCAATATTTTAAATCCTAAAATGGACCCCCCCCCCCCCCCCACTTTTCCCTACATAAAATGTCACAAGTATGTAAATCTTTCCCCTGGTATGTGATGCAATTTATAATAGATCTAGTAATAGAGAACACTAGATCTACGTATAAATTTCCTGCAAAATTATCAAGATCATATTAGTTATAGTCTAGTAGTTAGCATGTCCCACAAGGACCAGTGGCGGAACTAGAAATCAAAGGCTCCCCCGCAAAGAAAAAACTAGGGCTCCCCTATTTATATATATATATATATATATATATATATATATATATATATATATATATATATATATATATATATATATATATATATATAAAATCTATAACCTAAATGAGTTATGTAGTCTACTTAATTGCAATATATAACCATTCTGAGAGAACGAACCAGAAAACATTTATTCTAAACCAAGAGTCGAAATAATTTTAACTGGTAAAAAATATATAAAGACGTTAGCTTGATTCGTGAATGGTTTCTCGCGTTATGTTTAATTTTTTCATTTTTGGCTTTTATAATATCAATTTTGAAAACATTGATTTTTTATAGCTATACTATTATATAGTACGTCTTATTTAAGTAACAATTCAGAGAATCAATTGCTTTTTAATATACATAGTACAAAAACTATTTAAATGAGCTTCGTGGGCATCCCTATTTTAAAGAAGGGCAGTAAGTCTTGCAAGTAGTGTGAATGTTTACCTACCTTTCAAACTATAGCTCTTGTAGATTTTAAAATATTTTTCTACGCAACAATCTCTGCTATAGAAGACCGGTTGTTTTTTTTTTTTTTTACAAAACCACTTTCAAGATGCATGAAAAACATAATTTTCGAAAAAAAAATTCATTGTTTTTTGGTCGGAACTGGGCCCCTAAACGTCATGCCCCCCCCCCCCCCCCCCCCCCCGCATTGCGGGGTCTGGCGGTATGGTAGTTCCGCCCCTGACAAGGACATTGGCTTTCCTTAAAACTCTTTTCTTTGCTACTTTCTCCAACTGTCCCCAGTATCAAATAAATAAATATTTCAAAATTAGTGTAAGTATAAGTCTAAGTCTGATGTATAGATACCAAAAAAGGTGGGGGTGGGGGTCAAGACCTGTGTGATTTTGTTGTGGGGAGGAATCAATTACAAGTTCGCCTTACAAATATGCTACATATTTACAGTTTACATTGAAGTTATTTTAATTTTAATATACTGCAAACAAATATTTTTAAAACACCAAGATACAAAACAGTAATAATAATTTGTTAAGCTAGATCTAGATCTATATTCTATAACCATTTAAATTAAATGTAACAAGCGAAGATATGATAGGGCCTAGATTAGAATTTAGAATTGCTGTAAAAATGTCAGAATCCCGCTTTTGTACCGCGTGATTTAATAGAACGCAAATGCAGCAGTATAAAATTCATTACGAAAAATTTGTTTTTATTTTGACGTACTAAAAATAAAAGTAAGTACAAGTAGGGGGACTAGTAAAACATTTTCTAGATTTAGAATTATAGATATGTAATCTAGATCTAGATCTAGTCAGTTGCCCTAGATCTAGATTTTAGAACCTTAGACTTAAGACTAGATCTAGATCTAGATTCGGTATTGTTTTAGATAGTTAGGCCCCTAAAATCGGCCGAGACTACTGAGTCCTGACTAACTACTACTAAACTAGTTTATTAATATTAATTTAATATTTATATTTTATATTTTAATATTAAGGTTAGTTATGTGAACAAAAGGTGACTCATTAAATATAAATGATTAAATTTTTGGATCAGATGCAACCTAGATTTCTAGCTCATTTCCTTTTAAAAACTTTAGCAACCATCTTAAGTTTTTTTTTTTGGTAAATAGTTAGAGATTCAGGGGAAACCACGGATGATATTTCGTCGAGTCGACCCTTTGTGTAATGTGTATTCCTGGCAAAAATAACCCTCAGCCTAATAATAATGATTTCTTCCACAGACAAGTGCTACGTTATCTTAGAACACTAGTAGATGTTTACTGGTGCAAATGACTCCTCCCACAAGCAGCAATAATAAAATTAAATCAGTTCATCATGATTTACCAGCATATATTTCTTTCTACAACAGGTATTTTTTCACCAATCACTTCCATTGTATAAGTGGTTTTAAACAAAGTTTTACAGCATTTCATAATTAGACTTATTAAGATTCAGCATTATTACAATACTTTAACTTCGAATTCAGTATTCTTGTCTTTTATAAAGCATCCTTTCAAACCTAACAGCCAACAGGTGAAGTTGAAATTATTTAATGATACCTCAAATTTTTTTATATGCTGATGCCACAGAAACAGGTGAACTCTATTTCACTTACTATAAGTAACGGGGTAGTTAGGTTTAAAATTGAATTTTATGCCACATTTTTTAGCAATTAAAAAAAAACTTTTTTTAAATTATGACTTTAGGGCTAATTTCCCAGTAGATATTGTATGGATTGATTATAGAGGAGATTATGCGAGGTACTGGCAAAGATTGCAACCTGGGGAATATCACAACCTGGACACATATGTTACACATCCATGGATAGCTTGGAACTCTGACACGTTGGAAAATGCTCGCATTAATAACAGTAAAGTCTTTTATCCTGAGCCTTACAATGGAGGAAATCAGAGAACTATCGTATATATTGATAGGCCCAGTAAGTTTCATATAAATCTATACAAAAATCAATTTCACATCTGTTTCCTACTTAGTTTGGTTCAATGAAAAAGGATATTTAACATTTTTGAGCAATTGTTATTATATACTATTCTAGCAACAAATGCAAAATTCAGCTTTACCCATTTGCTAGAAAAAATTAATTGTAGTACGGAATGATCAAAAAAAATTTTTATTAACTTTAAATATTGTCTTAAAGTTGGTGTAGTTCTGATATGCACAAACCCAACTTTACCAAAGCACTGAGTTTAATATTTTTTCATTTTCAGTGCAATCTTTATTAGACATTTGTCTGCAAACTGTTCGCCTTCTTGTCGATACTGACAAGATAGAGGAGCTAGAAATTCCACTCTACTTGATTGAAAGACTTAAAAAGAGGAGAAATGTCATTGTAAAGGATGTTCTCAGAAGGAGGAGATGAGGGGCAACATGGGCAAGAGAGACTGGCCTTTGTATATTTGATTGTTAGTGTTAGGCCTGAAACAAACAGCAGTTTATCTTCTAGAATTAAGATTAGTTATAGGTCTAAGTTTAGATTAGAATTAGGCTTAAAATGAGGTAGTGGTCTAGGTCTTGGGTTAGGTTTGGATTAAGCATTGTTATCATTATTGCCAATTCAAAGAATGAAATTATATCTTTTATTGGTTTTAGTCATAGCACGTAGATAGGCCCACTTCATCTAGATATGAAATTCTATGTAAAATGTTTTTATTTAATTTTCATCCATATATCTAGAAATTTTTACTCTTAGCTCTGAACTTCGACCATAGTTATGGTTAGTGTATTAAGCTTTAGAATTTTTATAGTAGTAATACTACTAGTAGTAGTAATGGTAAATTGATTTCAGGATGAATATTACATTTCTAGTCAAACAGTAGCTACATTTGTTGTACAGTGTTAAATAAAATGTATTATATTTGTTGATTTGTCCAGGTGACAAATTGTGTTTGAGTGTACAAGATAACTGTTAGGAATTAGTTGGAGGCAGATAGGTTTCATGTATGTGTCCTTGTTATATCTTGGGATTACGTGGACACTTGACCCACTAGAAATGGAGGAAAGACATAATACAAGTTCAATTAAAATTGAAATATAAAACCAATTATTTGAGTTCTTTGGTTGTTAACTATGTAACTGATTATCTGCTGGACATTTACTTGAGGGATGTTCATTCAGAGTAACTTATGTAGGTTACCATGAAAATCATAAAAATAAATCATAGCTCACCAATTCTTAAATCTGAAATTTTAATATTTTCCTTTGTTTCATGTGCAATTTAAATACGTTATCAATTTGTGAACAATCTGAGTCATGTTCAGGCTGTCTCAGTTGTATCAACTCTTTCATTTAAATATTTTAATGAGTTTAAGTAAATTATTTCTAGTATGTAATAAACCAATGTTACAATTTTAATAAATTTTCCCTTAGATGTTTAATTTTTATCTACAAATCTGAGATATATTCTGTAATTTTTACCTACAAATCTGAGATATATTCTGAATGAATATTGTTGGAATTGTGGTAGCCCACATCCACCTATGAAAACTAATGTGTTCTTTTTAGGGGTTGAATTACATCTCCAGAAAAAAAAAATTGTATTTATGGCTTGTTTTGTAATTAACTATTTAAAAAATTACTCTTTTTGACATTTAGTTATTTATAAAATTTATTTCAATTGCTGATTCTTATAGCTTGTTTATTCTTTTGGTGTAAATATGTTAAAAAGAATATGAGATAAGCATGTAATTGTGGCAGTGGTATATAATATATAGTAGATAATGGTGGTATATATGTAAACTTTTTGCTAGTGAGCAGCCTAGTCACCCTCAAGGTGCTAGTGAAGACTTTCAAAGCTTTTTTAATTTACTTACATCACAAGGTAGTCTTTAATTTTTAATTGTGACAGATTTTTATTGATTATGAAAATGTGGAAGCTATTTTTTTTTGTAACCTAGTTCCTGTATTATGATTTGCTCATCTGTTGTTTGTTGATATACAGTTAATGTGATATGGTATCTATAACTTGATTATTATACTTGTTATTGGTATATTTAGACATCAGTACTTATTATGAAATTGTACTAATTATAGGACTCCACAAATTCTGTCAAAGATTGTTTTGTGATGAACTGTATCTTGTTGTATAGAGATTTAATGTAAAATAGAAGCAATTTATCGATCTTCCTACAATACTTAATGCATTATATTTTTCTTCTCATATCAGCCTGATTAACACTTATCTGATATCTGTGCTGATCAGGTTTTTAAAAAATGTAGTTTTACAGTTAAGGCAATTTTTAAAATTAAATCACTACAGATTTTTATTATTATGATGGGCAGCTGAACAAAAAAATGGCTTTAGTGAGGCAATATTCATAGAACTAATAAAATCATTACCGAATACTTTGTACATACTGAATAAGTCCACTATATGAATTTTTTAAATTTTGTTTTAGGTGGTGAAATTTATTTTCCTAAAATGTTAATTTTTTTTGTAGTTGGGTTAGTTGGGAATAAACACAAATCTTGCATACCATGGTTTTGTTTGTTATGTTTTTTTTTGTATGTTATGTTTAAAGTTCTTTGAATTTTCAACCATCCTAAAGAAAATATCTATAAAATAAACAGTTAAGGATACACTTTAAAAGATTAATAGACTTAAGATAAATATAGAAACAAAGTGGTGCAGTGAATGTAACAAATATGACACAAAATTTCAAAATACAGATGAAATATTTAAATGTTTATTGTACTTGCACATTTAAAATGCAGTTTTTAAAAAAATTGTATTTTACTAGTCTTTATTTAGTTTCAAACAACAGTGAGTTGATTTCTTTAGTTCTGATACCTTCAGTACTACTGCCCTGGACATTTACAATTTCATACCACTAAACAAATCCCACTATTTCAACTTTTAAAAAAGAAATAAGGACATTTTGATCACTGAACTATTAGGAAACACAATTATCAAATCACATGAAAAATAGCATTTCACAAACAGTAGGTGTTACAGTAAGCTGATGGCACAACAATGGAAATGTAAGTTACTTTGTGACATACTGAGAAAATAATGGGATGCACAATAAACCTTGTTTTGCGTTGAGAGACCTATAAATCCTTGACACGTTTATTCATTATTATTGTGGTGTAATGTTTAGGCTAAAAAATTGTTAAACATTTTGTTGATTTGGTATGCTCAAAAAACTGCAGTAAATTATTTTAGTCAGTATCTAATATATAGAGTTCAATTCTGTATGTTTGTTTGTAAAATGTTTATAATTGAGGATTACAAAGAAATATAAGAAAAAACGATACTTTCATGGATTCAAGTGTTGGATTTCTAAAGAGTGCATGGTCTAAATTTATGAGTTAAAAAATTAAAATTGAAAGTGTTTTAAAACAATTTTCATTTTGCATACTTAAAATAATAATTTTCAATATGAACATTACATAAAATTTGTAAAAAAAAATTTATCAACCTTTATAAAATTTCTAATTGTGTCTGAAAAGTATTTGCATTTAGTCCTTTAGCAGAATTTTAACAGAATTCCCGCAGGTTATTATTTGTCTTTTTTTGCACATTCGTTTTGTCTGTCCCTTTTTGCACACAAAGGGGAATTCCTTTTTGTCGGTCGCACCAGAAAGCTCTTTTATACACACCTGCACCAAACTACAAGATATATATGGTGTTGGAAAAAAGTATAATATAATTAGCGGGGATTGATCAAGTGCAATGATATTGGCATTTTTAACAATGCCTTTTATTTATTCCATGTTCTTCTTATTTTTAATCAAAGACAGGTGAAGTAACAAAAGACATCTTTATTCGTGAACAGAATTCTCGCAGGTTATTATTTGTGTCCTTTTTTACTTTCTCGTATATACGTAGTATAGAGAAAGTATTGTAATCGTGCAAAAAAAAAAAATCGAGATTTTTACAAATCTCGACGTTTTACACCTCACTGATACGGAAAAACATAATTTTGCAATCTTGTCCGTATGTCTGTGTGTGTGTCTGTGTGTGTGTCTGTCCGTGTGTAAACACGATAACTTGAGTACCGTTACAGCTAGGTTGATGAAATTTCATATATAAGTATTTTATCAAAATCGTAGATCCGTATCAACTTTTGAGCGATTTCCGATAACCGGAAGTGGTACTTTTTCTACTTTGAATTTTTTAAAAGCCTATAACTTGAGTACTATTTCAGATAGATAAATGAAATTTCACATGTAAGTAAAAGATCTAATTCTCTACCTTCTGTTAAATTTTGAGTAATTTCCGTTGACTGGAAGTAGTAATTTACGCTACTTCCGATTTCTCAAAAAACTAATGTAAATTTTAAAAGTACTAATAATATTGCGCACTATTATGCGCTTTTTTTATTTGCGTTCACTTGGTGTGCAATTAATTTGTCTACGAGATTTTATTCTATTTTTAAAACTTTAAGTATTTAAAATGGATTAAAAATCATGTCTATAGCCCGAGTTTCCATCCCCTGTTATTTTATATAAGAATATTCGAGAAAGTTTAGGGGAGATCACTCCCGGTTTATTATGTTCATTCGTTTTGTCTGTCCTTTTTTGCGCACAAAGGGGAATTCATTTTTGTCAGTCGCACTAGAAAGCTCTTTTATACACACCTGCACCAAACTACAAGATATATATGGTGTTGGAAAAAAATTATAATATAATTAGCGGGGATTGATCAAGTGCAATGTTGTTGGTATTTTTAATAATGCCTTTTATTTATTCCATGCACTGAACATTCTGTTTTCTTATTATTATTTTTAATCAAAGACAAGGTGAAGTAACAAAAGACATCTTTATTCAGGAACGGGAATTCCCGCAGGTTATTTTTGTGTCATTTTTTTTTGGGAATTTGTTTTTGTCTGAATTTTTTTTTTTGCTCATGAAGGGGAATTTTTTTTACATCACAATAGTGCGTACCTTTTTTTAAGCAGACGTTTTAACAGTACATTTATCAGTGTAAAGTTTTACTACGTTCTCGATTGTAAAGGCAAGATCGAAGAAAAAATTTCATTTAAGAGCTATGTTTATGTTTTGAAGCTTCAAAATTTCTATCAGATAAACACAAATATTTTTTTAAAAACAATAACAGTTTAGAAGCAAATGTTCTCTATGTTTACCTTTATCTATAGTCTGAGCCGAATCCGGGCGTCCTTCGGTGCCCTGACAGTGTTTTTTGGCGTCGCAGGCCTTCCCGTGTTTGCTATGGTGCTTACGTTCGTTTAAGTTAGCACATAAGACTAAGAATAAGTTGGGGTACTATAGTCATTTACTAAGTTGAATCAGGCGGTTCCGCCGGCACCTCAGCATGGTGCGATTTGGCGCCCTCGGCTAGAATATGAGCACTTTCTGTTTGTTTGCATTTGTGTTTTCTTTGTGTTTGAGTTTGTGGTTGGGTTTGAGTTTGCATTTGAAGGGCTCAGTGGAAAAAGTACTTAAGTTACATTTTGTCAAAAATGAGTTAAGACCGGTATATTATTTGACTACGTCCACTTAACCATCCCTGTAAATTTGGGCGATGGAAAAAGTACCGAAGTAGCTTAATTTAAATACTCTGCATCAGCTGTTTTGGTATTTCAATAACAATTTAAAAACTTTGCACTCATTTTTCTCAAAACTCTCAAAATACACTTAAGTACTTTTTCCACTGAGCCCTTCATTTAGATTTGTTTACATTTGCTTTTTTGTTAGCATTTGTGGTTTCTTAGTGGTTGTGGTTGTTTTTGTGTTTTCATTTGTATTTATAATTGTGTTTGTGTTATGTTTGCGTTTTTTTTTTTTTAGTTTTGGTTTTGTTTGGTTGTGGTTGGATTTGTATTTGCGTTTGGATTTGTGTTTGATTTCGTTTGCTTTTTATTTTATTTGCGTTAATGTTTGTGTTTTCTTTATGTTCATGGTTGGGTTTGTCTTTGCATTTGATTTTGTGTTTTCGTTTGTCTTTGTATTTATGTTATGTTTGCACTTTTTTGTGTTTTGGTTGGTTGTAGTTAGGGTGGGCAATGCCGGGTATATGCTGATTACTAAACACACAAGTCATGGTCCTTTGCAGATAGTTTTTCAGAGATGCCAGTGCAGGGCCTGGTCGGGATGGCTAGTAAAGTTATATTTATAGACCAACAAATAAAGATACTACTAGAGACCAAAATGTCAAAACTTTGAATAATGAGCTGACCTTTGTACATCGTGCTCAACACTAGAGTTCAGGAAGCTTTAGTAAAATCTCCAAACAATGCAAAAATCATTTTTTTTTCCATCATCTTTCATGCTTTGTACACTGTTTATGATAATTATTATTTTATGGTGACAATGTGGCAAAACAAATTCAAGAGTCCAAAATTTCTTGGACTAATTAATAACAGTAATTTAAAATAAAGCATAAAAAAACATTGTTATAAATTTAACTATCCATTTTACACAAGTAATGTATGGGTAACATAAGAATCTTTGAGTCGCCTTCTTTGCTGTCAAACTTAAAGACACCATCATCGCCATCTACACTCATAAGTGATCCAGTAGCTTCCCTATCATCTCCAGCAATAATCTTAGCCTAACAGGTAAAATATATATGACTGATTGATTTTTTTAACATGGTGACCAACAATAACAAAAATACATTTTAATCAGTCTAAATTCATACATAAATTTAAAGGCTTCACTAGTTTTCAAATTAACATTAAAAAACGAAGTCTTTAAAGCTTTACTGATTACAACATAAGTGTTATTTTTCTATCCCTACAAATTTAAACTATGTGTGATATTGTCTATATTTGCAAGTAAATTTATATAAAAACAATTGAAACACCACTAACCTTGTCACCTTTTTCTGGACGAACTGGTTCCAAATGTTCACATGTTATATTTACAGTTTTCTCTTCATCAATGAGATACAGAGCACACATTCCACCCTGTATATTAGAATTTTAAAATTTACTGTAGATCTTATAGTAACATTTTAAGGTTAATTTTTTCATTCTAATATGTAGGTATCAAAATTTTTACTACAAATCTACAGAAATAACTGTTTGACTATTAACTTACAGAAATGCTCTTGATAACTCCTGTTTGGTAAATAAGTTTATTGTTTTCGTGAGTGGGTTTTATTTTCACCAAAATATCAGTTGTGTACCAATCAGACAAGCTTGTTTCCATGACTGAAACAAAACAAAAATCAGGTAAATAGTAGATTGTATTCACATTAAAGAGAAATATTCAGGAATCTAAAAAAAAAATAATTCTACTGTAGAGATTACAAGTATAGTTAGTGACAGAACAATTTTAAAAATATTTTTCAAGGTATGATTATAAGTGACGACATCATTTTTTAAAAATCTGGAAGAGCCTAACCTAGCCTATCCTAAGACAACAATTCGAATTACAAAACATATATATCTGTTTTACAAAACAAAAACAACGAATGGGATTAAACTTCAATTAGTAAATTGAGAAAATGACTTACCACCCCCAGGCGTCTGTGGTGTGAATGGGGGTCCGGGAGTCATGGGACTGTATCCAGGGCTACCAGCAAAGCTTGCTGGGCTAGGGCTAGACTGAGTGGCAGGACTTGGAGTTCCCACAAAGCCTGGGCTTTGTGCTTGAAAAAGAAATTAATGCACTAAGCATTTTATAAATATCCATACTAAATCATTTCCTAAAATCGTGGTTGGATGGTCGAGCTTATGACTGCTAATCCAGAAGTCTAGAGTTTGAATCCTGAGTTCAAACCTGTAGGACGTTCATCCAACTCTGATAGGGTTCCTTACTTATGTTAGGGAAATCAAGGCTGGGCATAGTGCTGACCACACTATCCCTTCATATCCAGAGGTCATTAAAACAGATGAACTCTTCTTCATCTGCCACATGTATCTTGGGCATGAACAGGAAAAGATTATGATTTCCTAGCATATCCACCTGATGTTTCACAATAGATATTAATAAGTATTAAATTTGTATGCTATATCAGTATCTACTTCAGCTTAATACTAATGCAATTAATTACGTATTCATGATTTACCTTCAAATCCACCAGGAGATGGAACAGGGTAGGGAGAATAAGCACTACCAGGGGTCTGTGGTGTGTATGGACCCATGGGTGAGTCAGGATGGTAACCAGGTGTGACAGGGTTAGGGGTGGCCCCAAAGTCAGCAGGTGAGGGAGAGTCATCGTAATTGTAGTCAAAATCATTGTTTCTGAAATTAATTTGTTCAGAGACATGAGCTAATTTTTTTTTAAGAAAAGAAGCAAATTTGTATTCAATTTAATAGTTTAAAAAAAAATTGTGGTTTAAAAATCTGGCTAACCTGGAAGGCGTGTTGGCATTTGAGGGATCCCAAGCACTTCCACCTCCTCCACTAGGTGTTCTCCCACCAGATTCATGGGATGGTGTGGCCCCTCCATAATGTGGTGTTCGAGATCCATCATGCAGTGGTGTTTGTGAACCATACATAGGAGTACGTGAACCATACATTGGTGTCTGGCCACCATAGCTGGGAGTACGGCCACCATATGTTGATGTCTGGCCACCTGTTGGTTTGGCCCCGCTATTTAATAAAAAAAGGTAATGTAAATGTGAAACCAAATAATAGCTAACAAACAAAACAATACAGATTATTTAAAAATATAAAAGATATGATAGAAAATAAAATAAGCCTGATTGAATTATGACTTCAACTGGGTAGAAATAGTTTACAGCTTTAAATTAAATTCAATCTAAAAAAACTTCATGATTATTATAAAAAAAAATTATTACATTAATGACAAAAATTATATACGTGAGGTTTGAAAGACGACTTCGGTCGACAGAAATAGTTTTACAGCTTGAATGTAGCTCAATACGTGCGGTGGTCTCTGTTGCATCCTTTACAATACCAATATAACCTGAAAATAGATACATATATAGAATTTCCTGCAACACAGTGAAAAACTGTTTTCTTTAAACATAGCAAACCATTCTACAGGGTGTGACCCTTTTAAACAAAATAAAAAAGGCGATCTTACCTTTAAATGGACCTTGAATAATGCGCACTGTTTGACCAATGATTTCTCTGTCTCTCTTTGACAAACCTCCCCTACCCACTCCAGCTCCACCACCTCTTCCTCTGCCTCTTTCACCCCCACCCCCACTTGGATGGGCAGGGCTTGAAATTCTTGGAGACATTGGCGCAAAACTGTTAAAGGCCTGAGCTGTGTTTTGCTTTAATGATATAAGAAACAGTACACATTAAATGTGCATATTAAACAGAAATTAAGTAATATTTTTTCACTAAAAACTAAAATGTATGAGCCTTTCTTTTGTTCATTATACAAAAAGTAAAAAAGAACTATAATTAATAAATTATGTAGTACAAAAACTAGCAGTAAAAAAATTATTATGATGTATAACACATAAACTCACCTTTCCTCCACCTGCTAGAGTCAAGTGCCTAGTTCTACATACAAAATAGCCTCCATTTTCTGTCATTTGTCGAGAATTTAGGAATGCAAAATTTCTATACATATGCTTGATTTCTCCACTTCTACCCTAAAATAGACAAATCAACTAAAACTGAAAAAACTAATTATTTATTCTACCAAAAAAGAAAAACATAAATTAGGTATGAATCTTACTTAAAGATATCTACAAAAGAGTACACAAAAATTGATCAACTTGAAGTTTACAAAATCAGTATATTTTTTCTAAAAAACAATAAGAAAGATGATTTAACTTGAAAATGTAAAATGATGTAATATATTTTTACCGAGTGTGGTCCCTCAATAACATTGACTATGTCTCGAACTTGAACATTGTTATTTTCAGAATCCAATGACACAGCATTTCTGGTGTCTTTCTTTCTTGTAATAGACTGCGGTTTTACATTCACAACCTTGGAAAAGTAATTTAAAAAGAAACAATTGCAAATAAAAACAAAACAAATAAACAGGGAGTGATCTCCCCTGAACTTTCTCAAATATTTTTAAATAAAACAACAGGGGATGGGAACTAGGGATATAGACATGATTTTTAATCCAATTTAAATACTTAAACTTTTAAAAATAGAATAAAATCTCGTAAAAAAAAAATTGAACACCAAGTGAACGCCAAATAAAATTTGCATAATAGTGCGGAGAATTATTTGTACTTTATAAATTTACATTTACAAATAATCACACAGAAAAAGAAACAGAGTTATATTTATATATTTTCTTACCTTGTTGTGCATGCTCAGAACTTGGAAGTTTTCTTTCTCCAAACGAACCATGACACCAACAGTTTGTGGGCTGTCAACAACATTTACCATGTATTAAACATTATTTTCTTTAAAAGCCTTGTTGAATTCATAGAATTTCATTTTTAATGTACTAACTCTAAAAAACAGCTGCTCTGAGAAAAACAATCCATATTTTTTTTTTTACAAAACCCTAAACAATAAGCACAAAAATATTTAAAATTATGCAAGTAATTAAAGAACTAAATGCTTCAAAGATTAAATTTAGAAAATTTAAAACTGCTAAAACCTACTCCAACATTACTAGGTCACCAAATTGATACTGGCCAAGGGAATCAACCCCTGTTGCCATATCTGCACACAACTGAATATCCTTTGGTAACACTTTCAACTGCAAAGGTAAATAACAGCATTTTATTTATTGTGAACATTATAAAAATTTAGTGAAAAACAAATAATCAAAATACTGTTTGCTTTCACAGAATATCAAGGGAGAAGTGCAAAATTTGGGATAAATAAGTAGAAACAAAATAGCTATTAAAACTGAATATAGTTAATAACAATACAACTCCTTACTTTTGAATTAATCTTATTTTATAAAAGCCTTTAAACAAATTCATTAACTAAATGCCATTGCAATCAACACAACAAGATACGAACAGTACTGACCAATTAACTTACCTCATGCATTGTAAGATCTGAGAACAAAACTATCATATTTTCTTCAACTCGCACTATGAGGCCCGTGTCACCTTCATAGCGTCCAGATATAACTTTTACATGGTCGCCCATTTTGAAAAACTTTTTCAGCTCATTGTGGGGAAACTCCAGAGGGTCCTATTAAAATGAAAAAAAAAATCCTTGAGTCATAAAATAAATGTTCTTGATATAATTTCAACATAAGAAATGACTAATGGCTTATATTGTTTTAATTCAAAGTTTGAACTAATTTTTAAACAAATTTGTTTGAAGAAAACTACAGTATACTTAAAAAATTATCACTTAACATATTCTGAAGATTTTAAGGTTTTAAACAATTGAGCTATCATATACATTTGATATCAAATAAAAACGGCTAATGTTGAGTTTTTACAAAGAAACTAATTTTTAAAACAATTTACCTTAAGATCTTCATGCTTGGGTAGAATGGTTATCTTGTTGCCATCAACTTTGATAACTTTACCCTGAAGGTGCTGCAACTCCCCCTCTGCCACAACCACAATGTCTCCAGGTGCCATAGTGTGGGCGATCTCACTTTCCTGCTTCTCAGGGATCACTTTGCTTGAGTTAAAAACCATAACTTTTAAACAGTGTTTTTACTTACTTAACTTTTTATTTAAAACATGCCGATATTGTAGTTTGAATAGTTCTAAATATGCATCTAAATATTTAAAATTTAGTCATTAAAATGAGTTATGCTTATAATTATGTTTGAATGTTTAAGAATTAACTTAAAAAGGTGCATCAGCTTATATTTCCAGATAGGAACAACCAGTTATTTTTAATAAAATTATCCCATTAATTAAAAAGTTATCATAAATTTAGTCATGTATATCGAATAAACCAGCATGTAAAAAGATACATTCCACTTGCATCCCTTCAGGTTGATCTTCAAACTTCTCTAGCTCAGCCAAAGTAGGTTTGATACCCTCTGCAACCTTTAGAATCAAAGCAACATTTGGTTTAATTTGTAACATTTGAAGAATACTATAAACTAAAAGCTAAACAAAATTACTTAATATGTAGGTATTATATAGGATACTTACAATTGCTGACATGGCAAATATTTTGAACAGAAATCCTTTCCTGTTGTATCTATTACCCTCAAACATCAAGAAGTCACCATCAGAAGTTACTTCACCTCCTATGCTCCTGTTGTTTAGAAAGTGTTGTAAATATATTGACAAATTTGTATTTATTACTTTCTGCTAATGATTACATTCTAGGTAAAGAGCCATTTGTTGTCTTATATTTGAGTTATGTACCTTATGGCATCAACATCAAAAAGTTTCTGAACAGGTCGTCTTTTACGCTTTTTGTTATCTTGATTGGATGAATTTCTCAGTATACCTCGTGGTTTGGTGTAATCAATTCTTGGAATAAGCTTCAATTCTACTTCATTTTGAGATGAATTGACAAAGTCCACCTATGTTTCAGTAAGATATTGAATAGGTACCAAATTAAAGTACAGAAAACTGAAGTTAATTACTATAGTTATAACAATTACTAAAAAAATTTACAAAAAAAATGGAAGGAATAAATAAAAAAATTAAATGACTAAAAATGTATGAGCACTAGAATAAAATTTTTAAAAAGTAACCAAACCTGAGCCAAATCATCCTTGTAAATACCTCTCTTGAGTCGCACCCAAGCTTTAGGTTTGAGACTGGCTGTCTCTTTGACGACTTTTAAGACATCTGTCATCTCGCGAATTGGCACCATCTGTCAAAACATTAAAAAATATTGTTGATTACAATTCTCTCATATATTTTTTGACTGACATTCAAAATTAACAGATAAATGCATTAGTTACAATTTAGACTATCATTCTACTCACCTCCTGTTTGTAGAAACCCATTCGAAGGTTGCCTATTCCTTGTATAGCTTGCTTGACATGAGTTTGTTTATAAGCTTCTATGTAGATATAGCCTTTTAGACCTTCTTTGGCAACTACTGATTTAATTTGAAGAGGCTAAAATGGATGAATTTTCACAGATGGTTATTTCATTAAAATTATTTTTAAAGATTACAATTTCTTATTATGATATCCATTGGTCATTATTTTCATAATAAAAGTGATAATAGTTCTTTAATGCAGTCTTTTCAGCTTTTCAAAATAAAATAAAAATCTTAATACTAAATAATAATACTAACTTCTTCAGTAAACTGAAATGCAATCATTTTTCTCAGCAGGTGAACAACTGTAGACTTCTCTTCCCCCATCCTGCACTTGACAACCCACAAATTAGGGTCCCTGATCAAGGCAAATTTTTCAAATTATGGGTTGTTTATTATTTCATATTAGATTATTTTTAAAAAAATATACATGTTCACAGTAAATTTTTAATACTATTAATGTATTGATCCAATAGGAATATATTAGATGCATTAAAAAGAAATAAAACTTAAGTTCTATACTAATCAGCGCAGACAAGCAAACTTACTTGACACCAGGCAATCTACCTTGCTGTGTAATTTCATCAGACATTTCCTCTCCTTCACCGTATCGTTCAGCAGTGGTGACATTGCCAAACTTTTGTCTGTAGTACTGTTCAATTTCATCTTCTCTTTGACTACTATAAACAAAATACAAAATGTAGATGCTTCCAATTTTAAACACTAAAATTAATAAATTAATTACACTTAAAATACTCTTCTTCTTCGTTCTTATTAGTGTTGAAGGGGATCGAGATTTATCTGCCAGTGACTTTGTTCGAATTTATCAACCATGAGCTTTTTGCCGACTCGACCACGCCTCCAACACAATTAAGCATTACGTGTCAAGTGGTTATACGCCATTGAGGCCATTGACTCCGATTTCAGCCTGCTTTTCTTTTTGGATATGCTTCCATAGCCTTAGTCCAACCAAGAACAAACTACAAGGCAGCAGATGTTTTAATTTTGGAGTTGTCTCTTCTAGAAGAGTAGCTGTCCCCAGCTAACGAGTCTCATCTGCCCGAGGGTTCGAGACTTTTCGGTTTAGCAACCATGAGCTTTACCGACTCAACCACGCCGACCCCTTTAAAATACTAATAAGTCGATGAAATAAGCAAAATAAAATTTACTTTTAACTTTTGTTCTCTCAAAGGAACTACTTACTCCCATATGTGCCTAAGCCTTTGGTGGCTCTCAATCTCCCGCTCTGAGGCATCATAAGTAGACTTCTTATCAAAACTATTTTCATCTGCACCGTCTTCCCATTCTCCATCATCTTCATCATCCTCATCGTCAACATCTGTAAAACAATTAGTGAAAATATTAAGAATGCACTAATTTCATACATTTTAAAGCAGAAAATATTTTAAAAGCGACATATTTATAATTTCAAACAACAAGAGTACTTTTGACTTAAGACATACTTTTTTATTAATTAATTTTTGTTCTACTTGATTAAACTATTTCAAACTCACCGGCCTCAGTGATTATGAATCTATGAGCACCCTTTCTCTTCTTTTTCCTGACTCTAGTTTCTTCTTCTTCATCTTCTTCTTCATCATATTCCTTTTTGATTAACAGTGAACATTTAAAAAAAAAAACTAGGAGGAGTTATTCAAAATATTGTCAAATTTGTAGCTCATAGACTCCCTCTACTGCTTCACTCTACCACAACACAAAATATTCTTAAGAGTTCTAAAATATTTCATTAATATATGAATTTTAAAAAAAAGGAGGTTTAACTCACATCTTCATCATCAATTAGATCTTCACCCTCTGGTTCCTCTTCATCACCATCCTTCTCTCCATCTCCATCACTTTCCTCTGCTTCATCATCCACATTCTTCCTTCTTGAATAGCCTGGTTCCTCGTCATCACTGTCAGCTGCCTTATCACTGCCTTCTTTGTCACTTTCATGGTCACTATTATCATTTTTGTTGCTAGTTTCTCCATCATCAGAACCATGCTTATCATCACCACCATCGCTCTCATTTCCTGAGAAGTTGCTATCTTCACTATCTGACATGCTGGTGGAGGATCACACCTCAGCTGAATAAAAGTTTTAAATTATTTTTGGGTTTATATTTAATTCAATGTAAAAAGCCCATAAGTTGGTTGAGGCCTAGGAAATCAAAGTGACAGTTCTAAATACTAAAATATCATCTAATTCATTAATATTAAAAAGCCTACTATTTAGAATGTTACACACATTGGATGACCTGGCTGGTCAATCATAGAGTACTATTAGTATGAGTATTGATGTTTGATGAAGTCTAAAATATTTGAGGAGATATAGGCCCTAATTAATAATATATGCCTAATAATTAATGATAGATAGACCTATCCACACAGTGTGGAATATGAAAGTTCAAATGTTTCATTTAGATGTATAGCCAACAAGTAACTTACTTTTAAGTGGGGGCAAAACTATGCACAATAAATACTCGACTAACTAGACCAGAGAGAAATTTGTGGCAATTTTTGTTTCATGTTTTGTCTTGGTTATTATTTTTTTTTAATTGTTAAAAAAAGTGTCATAAAGTTCACTTTTTAAACCTAACTACCCCCTTACTTATAGTCAGTAAAATAGAGTTCACCTGTTTCTGTGACATCAGCACATACAAAATTTGAGGTATCATTAAATAATTTCAACTTCACCTGCCCAATGGACCGTTAAGTTTGAAAGGATGCTTTATAAAAGACAAGAATACTGAATTCGAAGTTAAAGTATTGTAATAATGCTGAATCTTAGTAGATCTCTAAGTCTAATTATGAAATGCTGCAAAACTTTGTTTAAAACCACTTATACAATGGAAGTGATTAGTGAAAAAATACCTGTTGTAGAAAGAAATATATGCTGGTAAATCATGATGAACTGATTTAATTTTATTATTGCTGCTTGTGGGAGGAGTCATTTGCACCAGTAAACATCTACTAGTGTTCTAAGATAACGTAGCAATTGTCTGTGGAAGAAATCATTATTATAAGGCTGAGGGTTCTTTCTGCCAGGGATACAAAGCGTCAACTCGAAATATTGTCTGATCTAACTACTGTGACTAACTAACTAGTAACTAGTAGATCTAGTAATATAGACTAGACTTGACTATAGTACTAGAGTCAATATACTGAGTAACTTTAGAATCACTTAGATTACGTTACGTTACCTTTGCCTAACTTAGATTAGAACTAATTTATTACTAATTAAGTACTTCTTAAGTACTAGAATCTAGACAATTCTAGACTAGTAGTACTAGATCTACTAGAATCGAGGGTAATCTATCATTTTAGGTGCGTAAAATCGTCCGAGCCTAGAAATGTTCGAAAAAGTTGCCTCATTATTAAGGCTTAAATAGAAGTATATTGTGATATATCTGTCAAATATTATAGATAACTAAATAACAAACCAAAAACAATGGCTATATATATCAATATATTATATAGGCCAGAAATTAACTTTGAACAGCTGTTTTTGCGAGCAAGGTTTGCTATAAAAACAGCGGTAGAACTCCATTTTAGCATATTTTATTCCCCGCTTTATGTTCACCTCCAGTTGAGCGTATTTTATTATAAACACAACCGAAACACACAAAAACTTTAGGAAAACATTGGGCTTATTTCTTTGTGAAGTTTTGATAATTTACTATTGTCAAAACTTGAGAAAAATCCAAATTTGGAATATTGAATGTTATACTATACTATAAATAAACTTTTATGAACTCACGATGACCCCAAAACTGAGGCCAACACCATTTCGAATAGCTATTGCCGAAGTTATGATGTATGCTAATAATTAAAGTCAATGTGAACTCACGGTGAACCCTCGACCATGTAGGAATTTTCTCCCGCTGACGATCACATGCTATTTAATTGGAACTGTCCGAATGCTTTTTTATGTTGTTTTTTTTTTTTTTACCTTTTCTAATTAAAACTCACATTCATATATAAAAAAAAATCTAGCTCTAATCCTAGTGTTTTCCTAATGTTTTTGTGTGTTTCGGTTGTGTTTATAATAAAATACGCTCAACCGGAGGTTAACGTGAAGCGGCTAATAAAATGATTGTAAGAAAAAAAGTCACAGGAAAAAAAAACACAGGAAAAAAAAACACAGAAAAAAAGTCACAGGAAAAAAAGTCACAGGAAAAAAAGTCACAGGAAAAAAAGTCACAAATATATATTTGCATGATACTTGTTAATACTTTTATGTATTAAATATTCAGAGAGAGCAAATTAACTTAGGATTAATTAAATGTAATGTAATGTGTGTAGGCTGTATACGCATAGGAATTTTTATAATTCATCTAAAAATATTTAGTATGAAGTATGTAGATTGTAATTATTTTAAACTTAAGATTAGTAGCGTTTAATAGAATGCTCCAAAGTCCACGGTTTTAAATCTGTTTTTTTTTTAAATACCAACATTAAATTACAGTGAAATGGTAAGTTCATCTGACTTGCTGCCCTCAACTCATGGCCACAATAGTTATGTTTAGATGTTTAGTTCAACCACCTTTACTGCCCACATTTATCACGCTCATTACATAACAACACTTAGGATCAAAAAAGAAAGCCGACAAGGTTCAAATGCTGTCATTGACGCATGACGTCAACAACACAAAATATGTTCGGACAATGCCTACTGAGGAGAGGCCGACCAGAGAATAGCCTACGGCAAAATGTGCCTAAATTTTTTTTATAGTTAAATTTTCTACCGCTTTTTTAACTAAATACGTTACAAAAGTTGAGATTGTTGTGTAAATTATATTAGAGTATTTTTACTTTATTTCTGTGACTTTTTTTCCTAGCAAAAACTGTGACTTTTTTTCTGTGTTTTTTTTTCCTGTGACTTTTTTTCCGTTTACCAATAAAATATGCTACAATGGAGTTTTACCAAAAACAGCTGTATTGTAAGTTTCCCCTGAATCTCTAAATAATTTTACCAAAAAAAAAAACTTAAACAAGATGGTTGCTAAAGCAAATGAGCAACTTGAGCAAGGTTGCATCTGATGAAAACATTGCTAGTCTTTATTAATATTATTCACTGGAAAGTTTTAATACAATTGTTTAAAAACAGGTACATTAGGCCCCCTAACACTAGATTATAACTGATGAAAGTTTGAAACATTTTAAACTTTTTATAACTTTCAAAACATAACATTATAGATTTAAATCCTTCTTAAAATGTGAAATAATTACCAAAATTTATTTTTAATTTTAATGAGTCACCTTTCAGCCTTTGTTTACATAACTAAACTAGATTTTACTAGATCTAGCTAGTCTGAGTCTCGGCCGATTTTACTTCCTAAAACTAAAACTTCTAAAACGATCATTACCGAATCAAGATCTAGATCTAGATCTAAATCTAGTCTTAAGTCTAATGTTTTAAAATCTAGATTAGATCTAGGGCCAAATAATTAGATTTTCTAGACTAGATCTAGATCTAGATCTAGATTACAGATCTAAAATTCTAAATCTAGAAAATGTTTTACTACTTTTACTAGTCCCCCTACTTACTTTTATTTTTAGCACGTCAAAATAAAAACAAACATTTCGTAATGGATTTTATATTGCTGCCTTTGCGTTTCTATTAAATCACGCGGTACAAAAGCGGGATTCTGACATTTTTACTTTTGTCGTATATACGAACTATAGAGAAAGTCTTGTAATCTTGCAAAAAAAAAATCGAGATTTTTACAAATCTACGTTTTACACCTCACTGATACGGAAAAACATAATTTTGCAATCTTGTCCGTATGTTTGTGTGTCTGTGTGCCTGTCTGTCTGTGTGTAAACACGATAACTTGAGCAGTGGCGTAGCGAGGTCGGGTGTCACCCGGTGCGGCACTTAATGGTGTCACCCCCCCCCCCCCCCAGAGGCGTTGCGACCATTTCCGGGGACAAACTTTCATGTTTTCGATTTGCACCCCCCCCCTCAAACTTTCGATTTGCACCCCCCCCCTCAAGTTTTTGATTTGCACCCCTCCCCCTCAAGTTTTTCTCTATATATTTTGCTATTTTTTGCCTTGGTGTCACCCCCTAAATGGTGTCACCCGGTGTGGTCCGCAACCCCCGCCCCCCTCGCTACGCCCCTGAACTTGAGTACTGTTACAGCTAGGTTGATGAAATTTCATATATAAGTATTTTATCAAAATCGTAGTACTCAAATTATAGGCTTTTGAAAAATTCAAAGTAGAAAAAGTACCACTTCCGGTTATCGGAAATCGCTCAAAAGTTGATACGGATCTACGATTTTGATAAAATACTTATATACTTATATATGAAATTTCATCAACCTAGCTGTAACGGTACTCAAGTTATCGTGTTTACACACAGACAGACACACACACAGACATACGGACAAGATTGCAAAATTATGTTTTTCCGTATCAGTGAGGTGTAAATACTGTAAAACATCGAGATTTGTAAAAATCTCTATTTTTTATTATTTTTTTTTTTGCACGATTACAAGACTTTCTCTATACTTCGTATATACGAGAAAGTAAAAAGGGATGACATGACATAGTTCTCACAAATTTGAGACCAACTACCCCATTACATAACACTTTGTAATGACGAAACTGATATTAAGTAACCTGTGACAATGTTACATCATTCACAAATCCGATTTTAGCTGTCAGGCTGGAAAAAGTGTGAACACTTTTCACGAACGTGATGGAAGGGGGGGGGGGGCAAATTTATTATAACCAGTTAGTTACTTTTGAAGGTGTTTGTAAAAAGATAATGATGAACAAGTAAAAATGTCATACTTCTAAAGGTGGAACGTATATCTTAACACACTCTTTTACGTATTCTAGTGGCGGGTGTACAGGACAAACTATTATTAAAAGAGGTAGAGGTGACAGAACAGATCAAACCATTGTTTAAGTAGGGATGACAGGATTTATTTTGAGTGTTTTAGAGAGAACTCACATAATCGAGATCAACTACCCCGTTATATAATACTTCTGAATGACGTAACTGATATTACGTAACCTGTGTACTTATTACGTCATTCACAACTCTGAAAAGTGAACAGCCTTCACGAACTGGACAGAGAGAGAGGAAAATGGGGGGGGGGGGGGTGATTTTGTTGTTGTTGGCACAGCTGTTCAATAAATATGGAATCTTCTGAAAAAGGAGTGTTAGGCTACGGAAAGTAGTAGGCCTATACTATAAGTTTGTTTATTAAAATATCCTTCGGTAATTGAAAACCAACCATTACATATTATTAATCAAACCCAAATCCAAGTTATAACAAAGCCCAAACCCTAATCCTTGCCCAAATTACTGCAGGTGATAATAAGAAGATTCTTTCATTAGAACACACCTCTTATAGGAAGAGTCTATTAGTTTGATACCAATAATAAGACACTTTTTCTTTAAGTGCGCGTACCTAACAATCGATTAAATAAAAAAATAATCATAAAAAACGTTTTAATAATGCACTATATAATGCATTATATTTTTCTTCTCATATCAGCCTGATGAAAACTTATCTGATATCTGTGCTGATCAGGTTTTAAAAAATGTAGTTTTACAATTACAGTTTAGGCAATTATCCTATTTAAAATTAAATCACTAAAGATTTTTATTATTATGATGGGCAGCTGAACAAAAAAATGGCTTTAGTGAGGCAATATTCGAACTAATAAAATCATTACCGAATACTTTGTACATACTGAATAAGTCCATATATGAATTTTTTAAATTTTGTTTTAGGTGGTGAAATTTATTTTCCTAAAATGTTAATTTTTTTGTAGTTGGGTTAGTTGGGAATAAACACAAATCTTGCATACCATGGTTTTGTTTGTTATGTTTTTTTTGGTATGATATGTTTAAAGTTCTTTGAATTTTCAACCGTGCTAAAGAAAATATCTATAAAATTAACAGTTAAGGATAAACTTTAAAAGATTAATAGACTTAAGATAAATATGGAAGTAAAGTGGTGCAGTGAATGTAACAAATATGACCAAAAAAATTCAAAATACAGATCAAATATTTAAATGTTTATTGTACTTGCACATTTAAAATGCAATTTTAAAATATTTAGTATTTTACTAGTCTTCATTTAGTTTCAAACAACAGTTAATGATTTCCTTAGTTCTGATGCCTTCACTACTACTACCCTGGACATTTACAATTTCAGACCACTAAGCAAATCCTACTATCTCAACTTTTAAAAAAGAAATAAGGACAATTTGATCACTGAACTATTAGGAAACACAATTATCAAATCACATGAAAAATAGCATTTCACAAACAGTAGGTGTTACAGTAAGTAAGCTAATGGCACAACAATGGAAATGTAAGTTACTTTGAGACATACTGAGAAAATAATGGGATGCACAATAAACCTGTGTTGCTGTGAGAGACCTTTAAATCCCAGAAATGTTTATTCATTATTATTGTGGTGTAATGTTTAGGTTAGAAAATAGTTAACCATTTAGTTGATTTGGTATGCTCAAAAAACTGCAGTAAGTTATTTTAGTCAGCATAAAATTATATTTATAGACCAACAAATAAAGACATTACTAGAGACCAAAAAGTCAAAACTTTGAAGAAAGTTTTAAATGACAAATAGAGTAACGAGCTGACCTTTGTACAGTGTGCTCAACACTAGAGTTCAGGAAGCTTTAGTAAAATCTCCAAACAATGCAAAAAAATCATTTTTTTTCTCATCATCTTACATGCTTTGTACACTGTTTATGATAATGATTATTTTATGGTGACGATGTGGCAAAACAAACATTCAAGAGTCCAAAAATTCTTGGGCTAATTAATAACAGTAATTTAAAATAAAGCATAAAAAAACATTGTTATAAATTTAACTATCCATTTTACACAAGTAATGTATGGGTAACATAAGAATCTTTGAGTCGCCTTCTTTGCTGTCAAACTTAAAGACTCCGTCATCGCCATCTACACTCATTAGTGATCCAGTAGCTTCCCTATCATCTCCAGCAATAATCTTGGCCTAACGAGTAAAACAAATATGCCTGATTGATTTTTTTAATATGGTGAACAGCAAGAACAAAAATACATTTTATTCATTCTAAATTCATACATAAATTTAAAGGCTTCACTACTTTTCAAGTTAACATGATAGAATGAAGTATATAAAGCTTTACTGATCACAAAACACATGTTATTTTTATATCCCTACAAATTTAAACTTGTGTGCAATTGTCTAGATTTGCAAGAAAATTTATATAAAAACAATTGAAGCACCACTAACCTTGTCACCTTTTTCTGGAGGAACTGGTTCCAAATGTTCACATGTTATATTTACAGTTTTCTCTTCATCAATAAGATACAGAGCACACATTCCACCCTGTTAATTAGAATTTTAAAATTTACTGTAGATTTCATAGTATATAAATAGTACTTATTGCAAAAAATTTTCATACTAATATGCAGGCATTACAATTTTTACCACAAATCTATAGGAACAACTAACTATTAACTTACAGAAATGCTCTTGATAACTCCTGTTTGATAAATAAGTTTATTGTTTTCGTGAGTGGGTTTTATTTTCACCAAAATATCAGTTGTGTACCAATCAGTCAAGCTTGTTTCCATGACTGAAACAAAACAAAAATCATACTTAAAATCAGGTAAATAGTAGATTGTTTTCACATTCAATAGAAATATTCAGGAATCTTAAAAAAAGAATTCTAATGTAGAGATTACAAGTATAGTTAGTGACAGAACAATTTTAAAAATATTTTTCAAGGTATGATTATAAGTGACGACATCATTTTTTAAAAATCTGGAAGAGCCTAACCTAGCCTATCCTAAGACAACAATTCGAATTACAAAACATATATATCTGTTTTACAAAACAAAAACAACGAATGGGATTAAACTTCAATTAGTAAATTGAGAAAATGACTTACCACCCCCAGGCGTCTGTGGTGTGAATGGGGCTCCGGGAGTCATGGGACTGTATCCAGGGCTACCAGCAAAGCTTGCTGGGCTAGGGCTAGACTGAGTGGCAGGACTTGGAGTTCCCACAAAGCCTGGGCTTTGTGCTTGAAAAAAAAATTTAATGCACTAAGCATTTTATAAATATCCATACTAAATTATTTCCTAAAATCGTGGTTGGATGGTCGAGCTTATGACTGCTAATCCAGAAGTCTAGAGTTTGAATCCTGAGTTCAAACCTGTAGGATGTTCATCCAACTCTGATGGGTACCTTACTTATGATAGGGAAATCAAGGCTGTGCATAGTGCTGACCACACTATCCCTTCATATCCAGAAGTCATTAAAACAGATGAACTCTACTTCATCTGCTACATGTATCTTGGGCATGAACAGGAAAAGATTATGATTTCCTAGCATATCTACCTGATGTTTCACAATAGATATTAATAAGTATTAAATTTGTATACTGTATCAGTATCTAGTTCAGCTTAATACTAATGCAATTAATTACTTATTCATGATTTACCTTCAAATCCACCAGGAGATGGAACAGGGTAGGGAGAATAAGCACTACCAGGGGTCTGTGGTGTGTATGGACCCATGGGTGAGTCAGGATGGTAACCAGGTGTGACAGGGTTAGGGGTGGCCCCAAAGTCAGCAGGTGAGGGAGAGTCATCGTAATTGTAGTCAAAGTCATTGTTTCTGAAATTAATTTGTTCAGAGACATGAGCAAATTTTTTTTTAAGAAAAGAAGCAAATTTGTATTTAATTTAATAGTTTAAAAAAATTGTGGTTAAAAAATCTGGCTAACCTGGAAGGCGTGTTGGCGTTCGAGGGATCCCAAGCACTTCCACCTCCTCCACTAGGTGTTCTCCCGCCAGATTCATGGGATGGTGTGGCCCCTCCATAATGTGGTGTACGAGATCCATCATGCAGTGGTGTTTGTGACCCATACATAGGAGTACGTGAGCCATACATTGGTGTCTGGCCACCATAGCTGGGAGTACGGCCACCATATGTTGATGTCTGGCCGCCTGTTGGTTTGGCCCCGCTATTTAAGGACAAAGGGTAATGTAAATGTGAAACCAAATAATAGCTAACAAACAAAACAATACAGATTATTTAAAAATATAATAGATATGATAGAAAATAAAATAAGCCAGATTGAATTATGACTTCAACTGGATAGAAATAGTTTTACAGCTTTAAATTAAATTCAATCTAAAAAAACTTCATGATTATTTTTAAAAAAAAATATTATAGTAATGACAAAAATTATATACGTAAGGTTTGAAAGACGACTTCGGTCGACAGAAATAGTTTTACAGCTTGAATGTAGCTCAATACGTGCGGTGGTCTCTGTTGCATCCTTTACAATACCAATATAACCTGAAAATAGATACATATATAGAATTTCCTGCAACACACAGTGAAAAACTGTTTTCTTTAAGCATAGCAAACCATTCTACAGGGTGTGACCCTTTTAAACAAAATAAAAAAGGCGATCTTACCTTTAAATGGACCTTGAATAATGCGCACTGTTTGACCAATGATTTCTCTGTCTCTCTTTGACAAACCTCCCCTACCCACTCCAGCTCCACCACCTCTTCCTCTGCCTCTTTCACCCCCACCCCCACTTGGATGGGCAGGGCTTGAAATTCTTGGAGACATAGGCGCAAAACTGTTAAAGGCCTGGGTTGTGTTTTGCTTTAATGATATAAGAAACAGTACACATTAAATGTGCATATTAAACAGAAATCAAGTAATCTTTGTACAAAAAATGTAAAATATTTTCACTAAAAATTAATATGTATGAAGTATGAACCTTTCTTTTGTTAATTATTCAAAAATAAAAAGAAACTATAATTAAAAAAAATTATTATGATGTATAACACATAAACTCACCTTTCCTCCACCTGCTAGAGTCAAGTGCCTAGTTCTACATACAAAATAGCCTCCATTTTCTGTCATAAGTCGAGAATTTAGGAATGCAAAATTTCTATACAAATGCTTGATTTCTCCACTTCTACCCTAAATAGACAAATCAATTAAAACTGAAACAACTAATTATTTATTGTACTAAAATAGAAAAACTTAAATTACAAACTTGAAGTTTACAAAATCTTAAATCAGTTTACTTTTCTTAAAAACAACAAAATGATGATTTAACTTGAAAATGTAAAATGATGTAATATATTTTTACCGAGTGTGGTCCCTCAATGACATTGACTATGTCTCGAACTTGAACATTGTTATTTTCAGAATCCAATGATACAGCATTTCTGGTGTCTTTCTTTCTTGTAATAGACTGCGGTTTCACATTCACAACCTGAGAAAAGTAATTTAAAAGTTGCAAATAAAAACAAAACAAAAAAGTGGCGATTTTCAAAATCTTAATAATCATATATTTTCCTACCTTGTTGTGCATGCTCAGGACTTGGAAGTTTTCTTTCTCCAAACGAACAATGGCACCAACAGTTTGTGCGCTGTCAACAACATTAACCATGTATTAAATACTATTTTTTTTTAAAAACTGCAGTAACCTAATTAACTGCCTTTTACTTTCTTTAAAAAGCTTTAGGATCATTTTTAATGTACTAGATCTGAAAAACAGCTGCTCTGAGAAAAACAATCCATTTTTTTTAAACAAAATTTTAAACAATAAGCACAAAAATATTTTAAAATTAAGCAAGCAATTAAAGAACTAAAAGCTTCATCAAAGATTAAATTAAAAAAAAATTAAAACTGCTAAAACTTACTCCAACATTACTAGGTCACCAAATTGATACTGGCCAAGGGAATCAACCCCTGTTGCCATATCTGCACACAGCTGAATATCCTTTGGTAACACTTTCAACTGCAAAGGTAAATAACAGCATTTTATTTATTGTGAACATTATAAAAATTTAGTAAAAAACAAATAATCAAAATACTGTTTGCCTTCATAGAATATCAAGGGAGCAGTGTAAAAGTTGGGATAAATAAGTAGAGACAAAATAGCTATTAAAGCTGAATATAGTTAACGAGCCGACCCGCTGCGTATCATACGCCGCTATTTAGTTGTTTTTTTTCTACTTTTCAGTAATTTATAATTTGTGAATTCGACAGTACCAATGCTGCCACTGAAAATATTTGCTTAAAAACACTAAACCCCCTCTCCCCCCCCCCCCCCCTCCCCACGTGAAAGCAGCCTCCTCTTAGTTACCTCCTCTAAGTTTAAAATCGTTTCAAACTAAATTATCTGCCCTTAATAGCCGTCACCAAACCCGTCTCTATGATTGTAAAATGTAAATAGCATGACCACAGCTAACCAGACAATGTGGGGGTGGGGTGGGGGTGGGGTGGGGGTGGTAGTGATAGTGATAGAGAGAAAGAGAAAGAGAGGGGACTGCAAGGAGGCGCTTGCAGCTTGTTTTCTAACGGATCCCAGAAGAGAATTATATATATAGATAATACAATTCATCACTTTTGAATTCATATTGTTTTATAAAAGCTTTTTAACAAATTCATTAACTAAATGCCATTGCAATCAATATGACAACAGACTGACAGTGCTGACCAATTAACTTACCTCATGCATTGTAAGATCTGAGAACAAAACTATCATATTTTCTTCAACTCGCACTATGAGGCCCGTGTCACCTTCATAGCGTCCAGATATAACTTTTACATGGTCGCCCATTTTGAAAAACTTTTTCAGCTCATTGTAGGGAAACTCCAGAGGGTCCTATTAAAATGAAAAAAAAAATCCTTGAGTCATAAAATAAATGTTCTTGATATAATTTCGACATAAGAAATGACTAATGACTTATATTATTTTACTTCAATGATTGAATTAATTTTGAAACAAATTTGTTTGAAGAAAACTACAGTATGCTTAAAAAATTATCACTTAACATATTCTGAAGATTTTAAGGTTTTAAACAATTGAGCTATCATATACATTTGATATATAAAAAAAACGGCTAATGTTGAGTTTTTACAAAGAAACTAATTTTTAAAACAATTTACCTTAAGATCTTCATGCTTGGGTAGAATGGTTATCTTGTTGCCATCAACTTTGATAACTTTACCCTGAAGGTGCTGCAACTCCCCCTCTGCCACAACCACAATGTCTCCAGGTGCCATAGTGTGGGCGATCTCACTTTCCTGCTTCTCAGGGATCACTTTGCTTGTGTTAAAAACCATAACTTTAAAACATTGTTTTTACTTACAAAACTTTTTATTTAAATCATGCTGATATTGTAGTTTGAATAGTTCTAAATATACATCTAAATATTTAAAATTTAGTCATTAAAATGAGTAATGCTTATAATTATTTTTGGATGTTTAAGAATTAACTTAAAAAGGTGTATAAGCTTATATTTCCAGATAGGAACAAGTTATTTTAAATATAATTATTCAATTAATTTAAAAGTCATCATAAATTTGGTCATATTTATCAAATAAACCAGCATGTAAAAAGATACATTCCACTTGCATCCCTTCAGGTTGATCTTCAAACTTCTCTAGCTCAGCCAAAGTAGGTTTGATACCCTCTGCAACCTTTAGAATCAAAGCAACATTTGGTTTAATTTGTAACATTTGAAGAATACTATAAGCTAAAAGCCAAACAAAACTATTTGATATGTAGGTATTATATAAGATACTTACAATTGCTGACATGGCAAAAATTTTGAACAGAAATCCTTTCCTGTTGTATCTATTACCCTCAAACATCAAGAAGTCACCATCAGAAGTTACTTCCCCTCCTATGCTCCTGTTGTTTAGAAAGTGTTGTAATATATTGACATATTTGTATTTATTACTTTCTGCTAATGATTACATTCTAGGTAAATAGCCATTAGTTGTCTTATATTTGAGTACCTTATAGCATCAACATCAAAAAGTTTCTGTACAGGTCGTCTTTTACGCTTTTTGTTATCTTGATTGGATGAATTTCTCATTATACCTCTTGGTTTGGTGTAATCAATTCTTGGAATAAGCTTCAATTCTACTTCATTTTGAGATGAATTGACAAAGTCCACCTATGATTCAGCAAGATATTGCACAAGTTCCCAATTAAAATTACACCAAATTATTAAACTACAAAAACTGAAGTTAATGACTATAGTTATAACAATAACTAAGAAAATTTACAAACAAAATGGAAGAAATAAATAAAAAAATTACATGACTCAAAATTGAATGAGCACTAGAATAAAAATTTAAAAAGAAACCAAACCTGAGCCAAATCATCCTTGTAAATACCTCTCTTGAGTCGCACCCAGGCTTTAGGTTTAAGACTGGCTGTCTCTTTAACGACTTTTAAGACATCTGTCATCTCACGAATCGGCACCATCTGTCAAAACATTTTAAAATATTGTTGATTACAAGTTTCTCATATATTTTTTGACAGACATTCAAAATTAACAGATAAATGCATTAGTTACAATTTAGACTATCATTCTACTCACCTCCTGTTTGTAGAAACCCATTCGAAGGTTGCCTATTCCTTGTATAGCTTGCTTGACATGAGTTTGTTTATAGGCTTCTATGTAGATATAACCTTTCAGACCTTCTTTTGCAACTACTGATTTAATTTGGAGAGGCTAAAATGGATGAATTTTCACAGATGATTATTTTATTAAAATGATTTTTTACAGATTAGAATCTCTTATGATGATATCCATTGGTCATTATTTTCATAATAAAAGTGATAATAGTTCTTTTAATGCAGCTGCTTCAGATTTAAAAAATAAAATAAAAAATCTTAACACTAACTTCTTCAGTAAACTGAAATGCAATCATTTTTCTCAGCAGGTGAACAACTGTAGACTTCTCTTCCCCCATCCTGCACTTGACAACCCACAAGTTAGGGTCCCTGATCAAGACAAATTTTTCAAATTATGGGTGGTTTATTATTTCATATTAGATTATTTTTTTTTAAAATTTACATGTTCACAGTAAATTTAAATACTATTTATGTATTGATCCAATAGCAATATATTAGATGCATTAAAAAGAAATAAAACTTAAGTTCTATACTAATCAGCACTGACAAGCAAACTTACTTGACACCAGGCAATCTACCTTGCTGTGTAATTTCATCAGACATTTCCTCTCCTTCACCATATCGTTCAGCAGTGGTAACATTGCCGAACTTTTGTCTGTAGTACTGTTCAATTTCATCTTCTCTTTGACTCCTACAAACAAGTTACAAATGGTAGATGCTTCCAATTTCACACACTCAAATTAATAAATTAATTAAATTTAAAATACTAATTAGTCGATAAAATAAACAAAATAAAATAAAACTTTTAACTTTTTTTCTCTCAAAGGAACTACTTACTCCCATATGTGCCTAAGCCTTTGGTGGCTCTCAATCTCCCGCTCTGAGGCATCATAAGTAGACTTTCTATCAATAATTTCCTCTGCACCGTCTTCCCATTCTCCATCATCTTCATCATCCTCATCGTCAACATCTGTAAAACAATTCGTGAAAATATTAAGAATGCACTAATTTCATACATTTTAAAGCAGAAAATATTTTAAAAGCGACATATTTATAATTTCAAATAACAAAAGTACTTTTGATGTATGACATACTTTATGTGTTAAAATAAAATAAAAACTTTAAATATAAAACATACCATGAATTTATAATTATTTTTGTTCTCCTTGCCTAAAACATAAATAAGCTTAAACTATTTCAAACTCACCGGCCTCATCGATAATGAATCCAAGAGCACCCTTTCTCTTCTTTTTCCTGACTCGAGTTTCTTCTTCTTCATCTTCTTCTTCATCATATTCCTTGTTGATTAACAGTGAACATTTTAAAAAGAATAAACTGGGAGGAGTTATTCAAAATATTAGCAAATTCAGTAGCTCATTGACTCCCTCTATTGCTTCACTCTACCACAACACAAAATATTCTTAAGAGTTCTAAAATATTTCATTAATATATGAATTCAAAAAAAAGGAAAACCTATTTTAGAGGTTTAACTCACATCTTCATCATCAATTAGATCTTCACCCTCAGGTTCCTCTTCATCACCATCCTTCTCTCCATCTCCATCACTTTCCTCTGCTTCATCATCCACATTCTTCCTTCTTGAATTGCCTGGTTCCTCGTCATCACTGTCAGCTGCCTTATCACTGCCTTCTTTGTCACTTTCATGGTCACTATTATCATTTTTGTTGCTAGTTTCTCCATCATCAGAACCATGCTTATCATCACCACCATCGCTCTCATTTCCTGAGAAGTTGCTATCTTCACTATCTGACATGCTGGTGGAGGATCACACCTCAGCTAAATAAAAGTTTTAAATTATTTTTGGTTTGATATTTAACTCAATGTTTAATGTAATGTAACAACTTCCACAAGTTGTAGCTAGTCTCATAACGCGAGTTGAATTACCTCCCTTGACCCGCTTTTTTATGACCACTTTTTAGTTGTTTTTTTTTCAACCGCGTTTCTGAACTGTTGCTAAAAATAGCATTCACGCAATACCATACGGGTAACTCTGTTTGGCGCCTGCTACACGTGATAGATCATTGAATGGCCGACAAGCTGATATAAAAATTTTTGCGACCGGATGCAATTTACATGGAAGTTGAGCTAGATTTATCAAAAGACAGCTATATTTGTGTAAAATATTATTATTTACCTATACTTAAACTTACACAGATATTTTGATACCTGCAGTTCAGCTGTCCATTTACCTTTTAAAATGTATCTTTAGAATTTCTGTACCTTTTAGCAATCGGTTAGGAGCATTTGTGCACTAAACCCACCCCGTATGGCAGATCCGATTTTTTTCCCCATGAACTCGTACTGACCTCCCACATAGCTAAGATACACATTGATACTGATGGGAAAGCCTCAAAATCTATATTCCTACTAGATCTAGAGATCTAGAAATAAATCTAGATCTTGGAGTTTTTATAATGACTTTTAAATTTAAATTGAATGTCTCCACTCTCCAGTTTTATTTTTAAGATATTTTTATTAATTTTTTTTTTGGTTGAGGCCTGGGGAATCAAAGTGACAGTTGTAAATACTAAAATATCTAATTCATTAATATAGATCTATATTTAAGCATATGGTTATTTAAATCGTGACGACAACCTGCAAAATAAGAATAATTTAAACGAATAATATCTAAAATAGATGTACATTAAAATCCTTATGCAGTGCAGAATGAAATACTAGACTATGATGTTCCGTTCAGGAACTGACATCACAGATCAACAAAGATCATGGTTTGCTTTCGCCTTTTCCGCGTATAGATTTTATTATTTTTTCATGTTTTCTAAAATACAGAGAATAGGTTTCTATAAATTGCACTAAAGGGTAATATAAAAATGAAAGAATATTGGTTTGTTTGTGGGTTTGTCCTTTATGCATTACTACATCTTTCATCCATGAAACTTTGGGAAGTTATTGAGAACACCCCTGAAAAGGTTACTGAGTAAAATTTTTTTTTTGTTGCAAGGGCAGCGCACCAGCAGAGCGCAATTTGATTCTTTTCTGTCTATATGAAAGTATGTGTGTGTGTGTGTGTGTGTGTGTGTGTGTGTGTGTGTGTGTGTGTGTGTGTGTATTATGCATTACTACACCTTTCATCAGATCGCCATGAAACTTTAGGACATTTTTTTTTTAATTTCGCAAGGGCGGCGCCTGGGACGGTACGATTTTTCTCTATATACGGTATATACTATATACAAAAAAAATAAAAGTCGGGTGTCCTGCATAACAGGTAAGGGGTACTACTATATTCAGTGGTAAAACCGCAACATACGCAGCCGCCGGCGCCCCGGCGATCAGTGTTTCTTCCAGACTTTTTTTCTCCGGGGGGGGGGGGGGCACTTGATATTTTCCGGGGGGGGGGGGGCGGTTGACATTTTCCGGGGGGGGGGGGGGGGGGGTGAACACTAGTAAAAGTATATGTTTACCATATAAATTCCATCTCGTTCGGGTGGGGGGGGGGGGCGGTAGACTTTCTTCGGGATGCCTGGAAGAAACTGCCAACGATTGATGCGATCCAAAGTGCACCTGGCTCCCCTGTGAGCAATATGGTGCCTACATTCGTTTTGAGAAAGGCTATACACTAAGACACAATGGGCAACGATAATCATTGACTATATTGAATTAGGCGCGTCCCCTAGCGCCCTGGCATGGAGCGATTTGGCGCCCCGCGACCCCGATCTCACCAATGAGTACTATGGCGTCAACGATCCATTTAAAGAGTGCGATATGCTATGGATACAATGGGTTGCTATAGTCGCTTACTAAATCAAATCAGGCGCGCCCTAAGGCGCCCCGCATATTGTTATTTGGCTCCATGAGCTTTCAAATGAGTACAATGCAGCCTAAATTGGTTTTAAAGAGCACCATACAATATTGACACCGTGGCACACGACATACGATGATTAAACCGAGCCAGGGACTTACAGGGCGCCCGTGCTGTAGTGTAACCTGGGGCTCCCGATAGCTGGGAGGTCACCGAAGTATGGAGAATGATAAATGTACACTCACCGCAGAGAAATTTCTGTTAGGGTTACATTACAAGTGCAAGCGATTATGCTATAATATATTAATTAATATTATGTTTTACAGATCTATCATTTTTATTATGGCATGTATGTTGCCTATTAATTTACCGGTTTTATATTATTTTAGACTAAAGGCTAAGAGTGAGGAACTTAATATTTTTAATAAGATTTTTTAAAAACAAATTACTAACTACTAACTACTAGATCTAAGAACTAGCAGGCCAATGGTTAATTTATATATTACGAGCCGACCCGCGGCGTATCATACGCCGGTATTTAGTTGTTTTATTTTCTACTTTTCAGTAATTCATAATTTGTGAATTCGAAAGTACCAACGCTTCCACTGAAAATATTTGCTTTAAAACACTATCAGTTGCTCGTTAAGGACGATGCCCCCCCTCCTTTCCCCAACCCCCCCCCTCCCCCCCCCCCCCCCCGTGAAAGTAAACTCCTCTTAGTTACCTCCCCTAAGTTTAAAATAGTTTCAAACTAAATTATCTGCCCCTAATAGTCGTCACTAAACCCGGATCTACGATTGTAAACATTTAGCGTGAACCACAGCTCACCAGACCATGTAGGGGTGGGGGTTGTAGGGAGCGCGCTTACAGCTTGATGTTTTCTATCGTCTCCAAGAAGAGAATTATATATATATAGATAGATATTTGTATCTAGGTTTCCCTGAAGAGATGTCTGTAAGAAACTCTGTAAAAAAATTGGCGCTAGGATTTTAGCAATGAATCAATCATAGGAGGTGGGGGTGCTTATTTGATGTGTGTACCCTACCACCCAGCAATGCATTAGCAAAAACGATTTTTAATGCATTTTTCACCATCAATGTTATTTTAATAGAGGACTGATTGACTTGCAATTTAATTTGCTTTTTATTATAAAGTGGTGTAAAATGTAGGAATGCTACAGGAAGATGATTTGTATGTACTAAGTGTTTTTTAGTCTACAAGTCTATCAGCTTTGTTTAGGAAGTAAATTAATGCATGGAATGCAGACAGTATTCAATAACAATAATGAATCTTCATACAACAGTGTAGCACACAAGAAAATAACCATGGAATGGCCTAGCTTCTACTTTCTATAAGATGTGAATTTTCTTTCTATGTTGATTTACTTAGATGATAATTTTTTTTCAGTTAGTTACCGGACACATTTTTATGACTATTAAACTGACAATATTTAATTTCTGAGCCATTTCCAAGAAGTTGTTTAATTTACTGACAATAGTTTTGATGTAAAACCACGTGCAAATATTTAAAATAAAAACAAAAGAGCCATAACAATTTTTAGTCAATGTTTAATCAAAATGTACATGCCAAACAATTGACTTGACATATCAAATGTGTAAAATTTTCTATTTATTTCAAACAGACCACTATTCTGCACTATGTAAATATATAATCCTTTGAAGTATACAAAAACTAAAACAAAACGTTTTTTTAAAAATAAGTATTCAATTTTTTTCAGGTAATTTTTATTATTTAAAAATAAATTGAATATTAAAAGTATAGCTGCAAACTAGTCTTGTAAGCTCATTATAATGCTATAAATTGGATTTAGGACATTAAAAACCAATATCATCCTTTTCAGTGTTGGTGTTGTTTGGACAAAAAATAACAGCAATTACAGAAACTCCATAGGGAAACTGTTTGATAGTTTGCTTTTTGTGGGGTTAGAGTGAACTCAAACCAGATAGCTAACTCATGTACTATTTTTATTAAGATAAAAAAGTTATAAATTCATGTAAATGGTAAAGTGATCCTCAAAAACAAACTCTTTTCTGAAAGAGTTTTTTTACTTGAGGTACCCAGTTTATAGATAAAATTATAATTTTTATTATTAATGTATACAATGTGGTTTTAAAATGTGTAATGCGAGATGAAAATGTATATACAATATGAATTGCGTTGATTTTGTGAACAAACATACCGGGGGAAAAACAAGTTTTTATTTACAATTCTAAAAGAAACCAATAATTTAAAAATGCGATACCATTATCATCAGTGGTCAGTTAAATTTGTCATTCAAATAATGCAACAAACATGTATTGTTAAAGGCACTTAAAATGTTAACTTTCATCAAACATCTTTTATGTGTAAAAAAAAAAACCTAAAACCTTTTATTTCGCTTAAATCTGATTTAGTCATTAAATGTCCCTGTTGCTAGTAGAGCCATTCAAACACAGCACCTCACTTTTTCAAAATCAAGCATATTTTAGATGTCAAAAAGTCAAATCATATTATGCATGATGTCAGTACCTAATTAGAATGGTTTGATGAAATAATAGTGAAAGTAAAATGTGAACGTACAATAATATTTACAATATTGACAATAAATGCTTTTAACAGCAGGGAGCAACTCTACTGAGAAACAATTATTCTAAAACTGTTATAATCCAGTTCTTGGCGCATAACTCCAGTAAGAATAAATTCTGCATTAAAAATGGCTGTGGATGAATAAAGGTAAAATAATTAATTTACAATTACCCTTACATTTGCAACAAAGAAACAACATATGAAGCCAGTAAAACCACTTGTTACTACTTAGCTCCAGTTAAGATTAATGTTCTATTACCTAAGCATATAAATTAAAAAAAACAAACAGGGAAAACACTTCATATCTAAAAGGTGACAGTTAAAAATTTAGCCCTTCTTATGCTCAAACAATCAATTAGTATTGCAACAGTCAATGATTTTATTTTTTTAAACCTCTTCACAGGGTAAAATTTAAATCCAAAATAGTCCTTCAGATATAAGCCATTGTCCTCTACCAGGCTCTAAGCTCCTTGATGCAATAGATTATTTCAATGAGTAGACAATTCTTAAGATTTGTCACAACTCAAGCTGTTCATAAACAACTTAACGCTAATATAACAAAACTATGAAAAATAAAGTTTATTTAAAGACCTTAACTGAACTCACACACTTATTTCATGATTTTAAAAGCACTAATCCATACAAGATGGTACTTCTTAATATATAAATAGAAAATTTAATAATTAGCTAGGCTTAGAAAAAATTATATTCAAGTATATACTTACGTAATTTTCTATTGCGAAGGTCAACTGAAAGATGCAAATCATTAAGGCAGGTAATAACTATTATTTTAGGATGCCCCTGTAAGAATAAAGTAAAAAATAAAATGGGTTATGTAGTAAAAAAATATATGACAAAAACGCAACAAAAGTTAAGAAAACCTATGATGTTATAAGAACTAACCTTTTCATCCATAGACGCTGCAATTTGTTTAACCGATGGCCTAATCTTAACCAAAACACCTCCTGCACTTTCAATGATGGTCATCATCTCGCATATTGGGGGTACAACACTTGGTGTTATGTAAAATGTTAAACCCTGTGAAAAAAATGTTTCTAATGATAAATATGCTAAATATTAAAATTAAAACATATCAGTCATCTGTATTTATGAATAAATATCAATTAAAATAAAAACCTGATATGGTTTATTTAAAAAAAATAAAATGGACCTGGAACAATGGTCTAGACTGAGCTCGTCTCATTGACTCTGACAGGTTGCAATTCAATGCTATTTCTCCTTTTTCATCCTTCAAAGAATAATTTGTTTCATCTGAAATAAATTTTTAACTTATAATTATTCTATACTTTAAATATGAAACATTAAAAGCATTATTTATCAGAAAATAATTGCAGCTATCAACAACAGTACCTAAAAATCGTTCCTGTGCGATGCTATCTTCGATCCATTCTTTTGTGATGATATGCCTGCAGGTGTTGATGGCCACAAAAAATTTGATGGTTCTGACAAGACTCGGACATACCAGATGGGTGCAGTGACATGGGTTTGTGACTATTATACCACCAAGTTTTTTTACAAACTGAAATGAATTTTTTAAATTTAAAACTGGTTACAACTGTACCTCAGTAGGCATGGTGAATTTATTTTAAGTTGGCCAATAAAGTAATTGAAGTAGCAAAATTATGTTATTACTTGCCTTATGTTAAATCAGAAAATTTTTCATTAATTTTAAAAACGTAGACCAATAGATTTAGTATCTAACCTAATGTTTTAAAATTATTTTTTTTTAACAATGAATAAAAAAATGGTTAGCTCTTTTAGCCATTTTCAAGTTAAATACTCACAGCTTCAAGTCTCGCCACCTGTGACTTGGGGTATAGCGTGAACAAAATCTTAGGTACATTCGACCCCACCTCGGGTGCAGGTGTACTTGTATCAACTCTGTACAATAATATATTTTTAAAAATGAGCTCAACAAATTTTTTGAAGTTGAAAAATAATCAACAAATATACCTGGCATCACCTAATACTACTTTATTCTTCAGTTTTTTTCACTTATTCAGTTAACTGCAGATTTTGTTAAGTTGATCTTACTGTTTCAGAGTCAACTATAATTTTCACTTTTAACTTAAAATAAACATAACAGGTATTTATACTAGATCTTTCAGATTAGCTAGTGTTTATATTTTGAAAGGCATTAGTATAGACCATGTAATCTATTCAGACAAAGGTATAATAGGTTAAAACTTTTTAAACTTAATAGCTAAAATGTAAATTATCAGGATAAGGTTTATAAGTTAGGTATATACTTTTGTCTTTTGGGTGGTGATGGGCCATTCGAATTTGAGTTTTCTTGACCAATAGCAGAATTTGTGATAGGTCTAAACCTCTAGAAGGAAAAAACCAAAAGAAACACATATATTTTAAAATTGGCAAGTCAGAAAAAAGATAAGTTAACCACAGTAATGATGGTAGGAATAATGGAAAAGTAATGAACAATTAAATGTTATTTTTGAAAAAATGTTAATGTATCGGTAAAGATCTATTATGTTAAAAATTAAGATAATAATAAATTTAAAAAATGATAAATTTTATTTTCAAAGCTCTGTCAAAACAACAAAAAACTAACCTTCCATGTTTCTTTGTTAATTCTAAGTGGAGATTTCCAGCCACCTGACATTAAAAACAAAATAAAAGACTGAACTAATTGTAACTAGCTTTGTTATAGTTAAATGGAAGTGTTGACACAGGGCATTAAATAAGTTTTCAGGTAAAAACAACTCATACATTAAATATTCATAGTTGACATACCCATGAGGTGGGTTACTCGTGACAAATCCATGTGAAATTCTCTCCCTTGTCCAACTTGAAGATATCTCACATGCACAGGAAGTCTCAGAGCATCCATATTCCCCAAGACCAGATCTGACAGCCACTGAACATTCACAACTGCTATTCTCCACTCTTTAGCTTTTTCAAATTTCAACCCACCAGGTCTAATAGAGTATTGAAATTCATTCATTATAAACATTCATTTACTTTCAGTGATCATCTTATTACTACAGATATAGATCAAGATATTTTGTAACAAATTAAAGAATGAAATTGAGCAGATTCACATTTAATAAAAAAGAATTACTTTTTACAAATAAGAGCTGAGTTATGGTGTGTCATATAACCAGTATACTTGGCTCCTATAGCATTGATCATTTGTTTTAACCTCACTCTCTCTTCTCCATCAAAGTTGGTCACACTAATCATCTGAAAATTTGACAAGAACATGACAGTAGACCTAATTAGCTAATTGTGTGGTGAAGAAATAATGACAAGACAAAAATTCATTGTTTAACAACTGGTAAAGTCACATAGAAACTATAATTATCTCTCCCACAATCTCAATACAATGGGTTAATTAATGACAATTATTTTTGCTGTTTTTTTTAATATTAACATATTTTAAATTGTAAAAATGTTCACCAAAATTGTATAGAAATCAAATGTTATTTTACCAAACAATACAATATACAACGTAAACAACCACTAGGTAGTACTTTGAAAAAAAGTAAAACATTTCAATCATACAATTCTAGCCATACTTTGAAATGGTTATAAAGTGTAAACCTAATCACGTGAAGTTGAAAGCAAGCAGTATGTAACAGTCTTTTGACATACCTGGTTGAACCCAGGCTTCTCTGAATGGAATGACAATGGTAAATGAAGAGCTTGCCATGGAGGTACCATCTTCTTCTGTAACAGGCAGTCATTTAACCAAAAGGCAGTGACGACTCTTTTGCCTTCTTTAAGTGCCTAGAAAAAATAACCGAACATGTTAATCTGTTGTAAATTACATTAATTATGTACATTTTATTATTGCAAAAGTAAATAGGGCCTACGGTTTTTAAAATAGTATTTACAACTTGCAAATTATTTAATTACAAAACAAACAAAAAAATGTCTCACCATTTTGAACACATCTGATTTCTGATTGGAACATAAAACATGAGTGACTCTATTACAATAGGATGATTCAACCTGACCACCATATTGCTCCATTACCTGTCAACAAAAACAAAACAAGACTCCAGTATAATTGTTTTAGTGACAATTACAACAGTTTTAATTACAGCTTCTCAAAGAAAATTACTGTTATGTTTATTTTATCATAAGAAATATGTTAAAAATAAAAAAAACACAGTAAAATAAAAAAATATGATTGTAAACTGTTCAGAAATGTTGGAACCCAAAGTTAGTCATTGTAAAAAAATCATTGCCAAGCTAAACTAGTTTTAATTACCTTTCTCCATACAGCAACTTCTTCTGCACCAAGGATATGTTGATAATCTGTGATACAAAACACACAGCCCAGAAGGCAGAGATCTGGGGGCACTAAATAAAAATCCTTAGTATTAGTACATCATCTCAACAATTGTATATAACAAACCAACACGCTTTATGTATCTACTCAACAACAGAATGTATCAAGCATGGTATTGATCTAAATTAATGTTTAACATTTATTATGGATTAAAGAGGTAATTTTTAGAGTCAACAAAACAATATGTTAATATTAAATGAGAATGTACATTTTGAAAATGCAATCACCTATTAGGCATGTGATTTGTAACAATATCAAACAGTATTTACCATTTTCTTTAGGGTCATGGCCGTAATAAACACTTCCTGATTGGGTCTGAGGTACAGGTGGGACAGGGGTCACAGGGTGGGGAGAGGGCACTGGAAGCGCGGGTGGGGGAGCTGACATTACAGGAGCTTTTGGTGGGAAGGGATAATCTGGTGGGGGCGGTCGATGCTGTGGTTGCATACCCATCCCAACCATAGGATTCATCTGCAAGGAAAATTGAACGAAACATCCTGATAAGTGGTCATCCATTTATGACATCCACAAATTTTTTGGATTTCGGACCCCCCCTGTCCACAAAAATCCATTTTTCCTTATACAAGTCCATATGCGTCCACAAAAGTCAGTTTTTTCGGACCCCCCCCCCCCCCCCCTGCGTGTGTACGTCATAAATGGATGACCCCTAAGTAAGTTTTATGTCATTCTGTATTATAGTGTATTTGTTATCAGTTATAAAAACAACAGCATATAAAAACAAATGTTGTATCACAGTATTTAATATTCTGTATTGCATTAAGAGTTATTGGGAGCAATACTAGCACATTGAAGCCTTATTACATCATTCCAGCATTTTAATAAATACTGGCTTCAAACTAAAACATGGTTTTTGTGTAGAAAGTCCTGAATTTAAAGATAAAAATAAACAACTAGCGAAGGGTTTTTCTTTTCAAGACAGTGGTTTGTGAAAGAAAAAACAATCAAATAAATAAGGTATACCTTTGGAGGAACTGGTGGGACGGGCTGTCTAACTGGTATATTAGCTGGAATCGCAGCTCTGTTTGTGATATTTCTTAGTGTGTTTCGGATGTTAGCCTGCTCAAGTCTGGGCTGGAAACCAATGTTTGGCATTGATGGGTTTAATCTGATAGCACTGGATAACCCAGGGGAACCAACCGGTTGCATAGGTACACTTGGCCTTTCTGGTGTTGTAGGCTCAGAGGAAGACTTGCTATAGATTCTGCTGCTTATTTTTCTGGCGAGGGCCTCTTTGGCGCTGGGGGTGTCAGGTCGAGGCGTTTCCAATCTGTGGAGTATTTATATTTAAGTTCATTCAGTAGCTTTTCAAGCCTGATTCACAGGGTGGATGTTTCTAAAAACTTAGCTTATGAAAAAAAATGTATGATCAGCATAAGCCACAGCTGCCTTTACTTTCCCATTAGGTACCACTATTAGAGCAGTGAGGATTCAGGGATGGCCTAGTGACTTGATCACAGGACACAAAATTCAGATATGCAGGCTAGCCATTGTGTGCTTTATCATTTATCTCATAGATATTAAAGTGAATTCAAAGAAAAGATAAATGTATATAATTTATATGGTTAAAAGAAGCGAAATAATTTGTGCTTTGAAAGAAGACAAAACTCTACTGCACCTGTCTTCTGGAGGAAATGGTTTACTGTGATTTAGTCGGACTGAAAACATCTGGTGACTAGGAGAGATATTCATGACCTCCAAGGGTGGCATGCCATCAAAGGATGAGGTAAATGGGGTGTCCAACTCCATATCTGATGGTAGTTCTGGTGGAGGGGTGGGTGGTTGAGGTTTGGGGTACTGCAGCCATCTAGGGTGGTAGATCTCTTCGTCTTGAATTTCCTTTTTAGATATACAGTCTGAGACCCAGTCAGGGGTGACAATTTTCTTTTTTTCCCCGTACTGAAGAGCAGCAGTATACTTAGGCTAGAAATAAAGTATTAATATTGCTATTAGGTTGGAGATAATGTATTAACATTATACTTAAACTTGAAATAAAACGATAATGCTGTTTCAAGTTTAATAGATTAAAGTAATGAATTGAAGTAAAAACCTACAAATTATAGCCAATGCATTAACAACTATTTTTAATGTAATTAACTATAAAGAAAAAAATAAGTTAACTCTATAGTCATTCTCGAGTAAATAAAAACAAGTAAAAATAAATTGCATGTTATCTTAGTACAATGATTTAATTTTTGCTACTGTTATTAGCAAACAAAAATCATAAATTAAGACTAACCCCTTCAGTACTTGTAGTGATAAGATGGGTAACTGTGTCATCTAAATTTGGCTGACACCTACCACCATGGTAGACCAGCATCCCCCACAATGGAAGAGCATCCTCGTTATCAATCTGATAACATTAAACACATTTTTAAATGATAGTAATTTAAATATATCTTAACATAATTTTAAAAAAAAAGTACTAGAAAATAACAGTTCAGAAAAAAAAAGATATAAATAATACATGCATTTTGAGGAGTTCATAGATCTGGTTTCAACTTAATTGCAGCTTTAAACAAATAAAACTTGTTATTTATGATTATTGAAACTTACAGTGCAAAAGTTACTTAAAATGTACAACTGTTAATGTATGTTTGTTTAATAATCAAAGATGAACAAATGAGTTAAAATACTTACTTCTCCAGGACATGCGATTACACCTGAGAATAATTTATCTTCAAGAAAGAATATTTCTTTACTAGTTACGGGTTAAGGAAATATATTAATTTATTAATAAACATGGGTTAGAGCACCAAATTATTGAGTTCCAATCCCTAACTCAAGTACATAGAACAATCCTGAGTCCAGCCAACTCTGATGGGTACCTGACTCGCATTAAGTGTAACAAAGGCAGTTAGGCATAATGCTGACCTTTGTACGCCAAGGTAATTTAAATGGACGAACACTACTTCATCTGCCTTATGTGACTTATGCACGAATGGGAAAAGATGATGATAATTTTAAAAAATAGACATTTCAGTTTCCTTTCCTTAAAAGTATGTACTTTTTAAAAAAATTCCAAAAAGGATACGGTAATTGCTTTTGGCATTTTACAGAGAGTATCACCCAATCACTCTGAAAAGTAGATTGTAAAAAGTTTAAAAAAAAAAAAAAATCTAAAATTTACATTAAGGGAGGTAGAGGTATTAGTTTTAAACAAGGAAATTAAACAAAAAGTAACAAAGGTGATATAACAAAAAATTCATAAAAAAGTTATTTACCGTAACAATAGGCAGTTCAAAAAGCTCTTTTGCTTCAGAATAATCGTCCGAGCCTGTACTGTCTGCAATGACAATACTGACCATTTCACAGAGGTACGAGTCTCTTTTAGCTCCATTCTGCTCCAACAATGTTGTCACCTTTGATTGTTACAAGAGTAATAAATAAACAGGAATAGATGTTAAACAAAAATTAGGGAATAACAGAATAAAAAGAAGAAGGACCAAAGTTTGCCATGCCTATTTAATATTTATTTAATTTCTTATAAAGTTATAAAGCTTATATTACTGTCAATAAACATCAAACCTATACTTAGTACATAACCTAACAATAATTTAATAGTAAAACTTATAATGGTATTTCGCATGCCGAATGTTTATGTAATAAAAGACATTAATGCAATTAACCATTTAAGTAAAGTAGCTTTTTTCAAACCTGATGGAAACCAAATAGTAATAGAGTACTCTATTTAATAGAGTTCACCTGTTTTAGTTGTTTTAGTGACCTCAGCATATGAAGGGATAGTGTGGTGAGCAATAAGGCTAGCCGCTTTTACTTGCCGTGCCCTAAAATGTCAAGTGCCCATCAGAGCTGTTAGACTCAGGACTTCTTACTCTTACTGACTCCAGCCCGGAATCCGAACTCGAGAATCTCGGATTAGCAGTCTTAAACTCTTAAAAACTAACACAAACACACCACAGGATACTAAAAACTAAAAAAGCTCTCTGCGCAGCATTTTGAATATAGATCTAGATTCTAGGGTAAAACCTTAGTTTAGCGTCGGTTATTATTCCGGAATCGTATAGCAGTAAAAAACAGTAAAACAATGCCAAAGTCTGTCACACACTTCCGGAATTCACCGGAAGTACTGTAAACCATACTTTATTTGACTTCATCTTTTATTTTTATACAGAATGTTTAAAATTTGGATAGATTTATTTTTGTAATCATTTTTACATTTGGTAATCATTTTTACTATTTTCGTAATCTAGATTTTTTTACTTGGCCTAGCAGCTAGATATCTAGCTAGATCTAGATCTAGATCTAAATAATTAATGGTCGCAAATCCGCTGCAAGCCAAAAGCATTAAATTATAACATTTGACTTCATTATTTATATTAATATATGTTGATTTTTTTGTTTTTTTTTAGATCTACTAATTTAAATCTACTATTATATTTATTCTTGTTTCCTTTTGTTGATTAAACTTAAAAAAATTAAAACAATTTACTACAATCGACTTTCAATTTATTTATATTTCAATGGTCAAATAAACCATGGTTTACCGTAACTCTAGTTACCGAAACTCAACAAACATTACCCGATAATTTCCGACGCTAAACTAAGGTTTTACCGATTCTAGATCTAGATCTAGTGTTCTAGTACAGAGTAGAGACCTAGAGATAGATCTAGTGATCTAGATTTAGATTCTAGTCTAGATCTAGTCTAGAATCTCTAGATCTAACCTAAGAAGTAAATAATTTATAGATCTAATAGCCTTTATTATATTAATAGGCCTAATAATTTAGCAAAGTAGATCTAAGTCTAAGACAGAGTGAGAGTAGAAAAGATTGTTGGTTGGCGAAATAATAGACCGAGTGACAGCCGATGAGTGAAGAAAGAAATGATAAGACCGGCACTTGAATTATTTTTTATATTTTTACGGCCTACCTTTTCACTTATATTTCCAACAACATAGTACGTTACGCCTTTAAAAATATCATTTCGTGGTACGTCTTGAGCACTACTGTTATCATTTTCTAAACCCATCTGTATTTAATATTGGCAGTCCTCTTATTTTGAACAGACATCCATTGTTATGTGTATGATGAGATTTTTGTACCAATATTTCCGCGTAATATAGTCCGATAAGAATTATCTTACCCTGAATCTAATAGACAGTAATGCGTGTAAATCTCTGGAATAAATTCTATTTTTACGTAAATAATAATGTAACGTTTTGAAGATTCTTTATTTGATTTTTAATTCCTCTCAATTAAAGTAAAGTCAAATATATTGTACAAATAGTGTGATTTCAGGGTATAATTAAACTTTATATATTTTTAATTAGGGTAGCAAAATTTAACTAGGCCTACATTTAAATTTAAATTTTTTAATTTGCTTATGTCAATGGACGATTATTCTATCCAGAACCACTTCTGCTCCCCCCCCCAATATATCTTGGAATTGTGGGTACTACCAGATTTGTTTACAAATGGCCGGACTGTGTCAACTTGTGTTTATTACATCGACATTTTAATGCCCGTGTGCCTTGTTTTGTTCTTCGGAAATGGATCAAAGTTAACACAAGTACTAAATGAATCGATATACCAAATCTCACAACGTATAATAATAGATCTAGGCCTAATTGAAAAATTATTACAGGACATATTCTCATCTCATATAGGAGGCTATACTATATGACTATGGTCAGTGATAAATTCTGGATCAGGGTAAATAGTCAAATGGCAATTCAATGGCAATGCTAGATACTAGATTAGAATCATTTGATAGTAGTATCTTTGTACGACTGTACTACATTATTATATTAGTAGTTTAGTAGAGTTAATATAATTTTATGATTAGGGTAGATAAACACAATTTTTTTTAGATTGTTTTTACATATAGATCTATATGTAGGCTTACCAATAAATATTTGAAACAGACCTACTCTGTGCAAATTATTTTAGAAAAATAATAATGTGTTATTATAAATTAATTTTTTTATAGCTGGAGACATTTCAGTGATCATCTTTCTAAATACTAATTATCATTTTGATAGAAGAAGAGCTGAAGTTAAGACTTAACTACAATTTATTTTAAACCATCTACTTGAAAATGTCCATGCGCACTCGCATTCGTGGTTTCACTGCGTGGGTTAACCTTCGACTAACGCCTTACAATCAGCTAATGTCAAATGTGCTCATGGATCTCTTGTCTGGAACAAGTATGAAACATTTAACTGAAAGCATCACAGGAAGGATTTTTAAAAAGTTAGATAACATGGATGGGTAAGTAATGAAAAAAAGATAATGTTTTTTATACTAGATTGTTATTAGTTAATTAATGCTTCAATAAAGAAAATATTCACATTCAGTTTGGTAATACTAGACATACATATAAAAAAATGAAATATTAAAACTTAGAGGATTAATTTTAGGTAATAAGTGCAAAATAAAAAGGTTGAATCTTGTTCTATAGCTTATCTCAGCAGCAAGTTCTTACCAGAGTTCAATGGATGGTTGATGAACTGAAACAATGTGGTGTTCTGCCCAATGATGTATATGTAGATCCTCGCATGTTTGCCATGAGAAGTGCTGACCATGTAATTATGCACCGCTAATTATGTCACATTTTAACTATATGAATATGTATATTGGAAAACACAATATTGGATTCTCCATGACAATTTGAAAAGCTGAGCACTTATGGCTGATTTTAATTTTTTTTCAGTCAGTCTTTAAGTATTATCACTGAGTATCATGGAGGGTCATAAAATAAATACACAAATGAAAATTAGTGAAATGTTATAGTTTTAAAATCACAAATAAATAGGAAAGCTACTTAAGTGTTCTTTTAATAATCAGGTGTTTGAGGTACTGTGGCGTCTCATTTCCCATGACATTTGGTTTGTATGGGAGAGATATGAGTTTTTCCAACTCGATGATCCTGATATTATCACTCAAGTACCTTTTAAGGTAATTTAGGTTTAAGTTAAAAACAGACATTGAAATTGAAAAAAATACTTAGTAAAAATTGTCTTTCTGAGTATTTCAAAAGAACTTACATAGTATAACTTATAAAAGAACAAAATGAATACATAACTCAACAAAATTATATTGATGAGTGTTGTAAACAATTCTTTTAGTGGACACCTGACCCACCACCAATGAAAAAGAAAAAAAAGATTAAAAAATCTTTACTCTCTGGATTTGGAGCTTCTGCTTTTAAGGAGGAGCCTAATGAAGTTGTAAGTTTGTATGTTTTAACATTTTAAAGATCTTTTATAATAATATATAAATTAAGTTAAAGGTTATCATTTACTTATTCTTTGAAGTATGGCTAAAAGGACACAAGGCAATTCCTTCTTCATAAGATCTTTGTATAATTTAAACCATATTTCCACAATGTGTTTATCTGTTGTTTTATAGGATCAACAAGACTGGATCAAATTTCCAAACTCTGAGCTCATGATGAATTTTAAAAAGAAGAAACCAGTTCCTGGCAAATATCCAGCCCCAGATTCTTGTATTCTGGAAATTGTTAATGCTGAATTAAAGGTTATAATTCCAGACATGCTGTTCTTCCTTAATTTACTACTAAATTATTTACAGTGAAAAACAAAATTTAATAGATAGTTCACATAGGAACCAGATTATTTACTTTTAATAATAATACTGTTTTAAATTTTTTATTTATTGTGTTGTTTGATTTAAAAAAAGAACCATGGATGATTGTGTGATCTAATCTTACATTCAGAAAAGCTGTATAAGATTACTCCTTTTTTGTGTGTAAAAAATAGATACATTTTAAATTTACATAATTTTTTATTTTTAGAAAACAAATGAGGGAAGGAAACTTCATTGCTATGTGAGTTGTTTTTTTTTTTACTTTGGTTTCAAATTTGATATAAAAAACAAAATAATAATTAAAAAAAATTAAACTGCATACCTTTTTGCTACCTGGATTAATGTCTCACTTTATTCAATCTTAGTATCTAGATTTAAACAACACTTGTCAAACTAAATTTACAGTTGGGACTGTTATCAATTAATTTTTAAACTATTACATTTAAAATACAAGATAGTTGTTAGATCCGTTTGTTTTCAGGGGTTTGATGACCTTGTTGACAGCAGGATTTTGTGTGCTTTAGTCAATGGTTTTGTTCCAAGTACTTTCCCTACAGATTTATTACTTAATGACAGGTAGGATTTTATTACTGGTATCACTGATGTTTTACATTCAAGAAAGTTTTTAAGCTAATTACAATTTTAAGGTAGTTACTTTTTTCTGATTCACAAACTGTCTGTTAAAAAATTGCAGAGTGTGCTCCAATAATGATTTTAGATTGACCAGACTACTGGATAAATGTTGTCTCCCCTTTACAACCAAATTTGCATACATATTTTATTTCTAATTCTAGATGGACCATAAATCTTGTACTGAGAACAGCAGAAAAAATGTTCTACTCAGAAACACCTTTTGACTCTGAAGATTTAGGGGAGGTAACAAATTTAAACACACTTTTTTAAAGTAATGAAATTTACTTTTTCTGCCCTATGTTGTAGTATTTACAATTTTATGAATTCTAACACTTTTATAGGCTGATGGTATGGCTGTGTCAGCATACTTTACTTTCTTCTTTATGGTGGCATTTAAGTACAGACAGTGTGAACATGTGGCAGCTAAAGCAGTAAGAATTTTATTTTTTTGAGTTTTTTTTTTAAACTACCAACATAAGACAAGTTTATAAAATCATTATAAAATGATAATTAGGGTTTTGGTTTTTCTGTAACGAGTGATCATCATTGTAAGTGTCAATATTTAAGTTAGTTATAAGGTTAGAGCAACATAGTGATCTATTGATAGAGAGATTTTTTAGCAGATTTTTCTATTAACTTCATGGTCCAAAAGTCTATTGTATTTACAATTTAAAAAAAATCTTGATGGATATGTTAGTACATAATATTATTTTGGAAAAGCACAATCTAGCTAGACATTCATTGGACATACAATTTATTACAAATAAAACATGTTAAATTCACTTCATTTGTATTGAGAATTATTATTAAATATTTAATTACTTTTACAAAAATGAACACTGTTTTTTAATGTTAGCTGAGAAAAAAAAATGAAACAACAATTTGTATTTTTTTTAGACTGCTTTAAAACAAAAACTGAAAAAATTGACAGAAAGTTTAGACAGATGTCCTACAGTTGTCTCCAACTTGGAAGAGATGCAGAAGAGAAAAGATTTCAGATCACAAATTGATCATCTTAAAGAAGGTAATTCACATTTTATATTTTAAAAGCAAATTGCAGAAATGAAGTTATTGATCCTGACAAGATAGTTAACCTGCCATTATAAGTGTTTGTAATTTTGTTCTAAACTATTTCTAAAAATGAAGTAAAGTTCATGCCTATTTCTTGACTGTTCATTGCAAAAAAAAAAGAAAAAGTAATAAAAGAATACTTAAGCCTTGTTGTTGAAATGTACATTAATCTCAGACTGTCACTTCAGTGTAAAAATTACTTAAAAATTAACAAAAAAGTAATTGTGTTTTCAGTGATTTTTAGACTAAAAGTTTCATTTTTCTCTCTCTAGAAATTAAGAAACTGTCCCTGCAGTATGATACTGACTACTGCAAGCAATGGGTGGAGCATGTGTTAAATATAAAGACAGAAGTAAGATAACTTCTTCTTTTATTAAAGTATGAACTATCAAGAGTTTTGTACTAAAACAATGTTCAACCTTACGGGTAGACATGTTATCTGTAGTCAGATATATGTTATCTGTGGTTAGACATGTTATCTGTAGTCAGAAATATGTTATCCACACTCCAATGTCTAATATCAGATCTATTTCCTTGATGTTTTGAATTTTGAAAAATAAAATAAAAGGTTGTATCTACTGAGGTGAAATAATAGATAATAAGGTTTTGGTCTATCTTTTAAAGAAAACAATTAAAATAAAATTAGATCTTATTTAATTAAAAATATTTTTTTTAATATTATTACCATAAAATATAATGTATACAATGTTACTTTTAGGTAAGAAAGTATATTGACGATTGCATGAAAAAAAGATTTGAAACTGTTGTTATTCCAAGGAATATAACCATAAATAATTTGTGCTTGTCTTGTGCCATAAACTTGGTAAGATTTTTTTTTAATTAACTAAAATTTTAATTTTATAATTTTTTAATTTTTAACTATGTTACATGTGTCACATTTTTCTCTTAATTGAGAATTTTGAAAATCTAAATCATAATATTTGGCCTCACTGTTTCAATTACTATTTATATCAGCTTTTAGTTGTTTTTTTGTGTGGAAACTTTTATTAGACTTAGATTTCTAAAAATATATTTGCATGGAAATATACATAAAAAAACTCACTTCAAAATTCACTTGCAAAATTTTTATTTTATTATGCTGAGATTACATACACTTTCATGTCAGAAGGTTAAAAAAAAGGTTTATTCCTTGAGGCATAGATGACTTTGTTTTTTTAATCCAGAGTCTTTCAAAAGGATCAGGCTTTTATCTCTCCTCATCTTCAGAGGTTCTGACTGAAGGGAGACAACTAATTTTAAAACTCAAGAAAACTGGAGAATTTATTGATGATTTTAGCTTAAAAAACAAAGGTAAGACCTGCTTTGATTTTAGCCATGCAATTGGTAAGTTTTATGAATCTATTTTAAACCAAAGAAGTGTAAAACAAGTCTTAACATTTATTTTCTTAATTGAAACTAAAAAGTAAATTATGATATTGTTTGAACTAATTTAGAAAAGTGATATTAAAAAATCTTAATTTTTAGGTTACATAAACAACATAACCAAGCACACCTAATTGAGAAATTTTCCTTCACCACATATATATTTATCTCACTTAAAACCAGGTTCTGTCAAGCAGATTCTAGGAATAACAAAATCATTTCCAGTTGAAGTTAATCCTGCAAACTATCCGCAGTATGAGGTGAATGTTTTGTTTTAAATTGTGAATCAATAAAACACAAAGCAATTTTCTAAAAAAATAGTTTCCAAGTAATAACTGTTTTACTGGAATTTTTTAACTTTTACATTTTTTTTTAAAGTATGAGATGAATGTTTTGTTTTAGATTTTGCATCAATAAAAATTAAAGCAATTTTTTAAAAAGCATAGCTTGCAAGTAAAAACTGTTTTACTGGAGTATTTTAACGTTTAAATTTTTTAAAGTAGAACAAAACTTTACGAAATTAATTTCTTCTTTTTTTGCCATCCTAGGGAGCGTAGGACAGTGAAAAAAAATTTATTTACTCTATTAAAAGTTACAAAAATGACCTTTTCATAAATTACTTACACATCAGTATTTAGTTTTTAAAAATTGATTCATTCAGTTCTACTTTGAAGCTTTGAGTCGCAACAAATACCTGAAAATTGGAAGCATCTTTCTGTATCAAATTTTCCCTGGAACAACGACAAACTGGCAGAAAGCGCTGATCAGAGCAGCAAAAGATAATGATGCAGACAGTGTGAATAAAATGGTGTCATTTTTCTCTAGCAACCCTTCATTTATCAACTCAAAGGATGCTAAAACTGGACAAACAGCTTTACACTTAGCTTCCAGACATGGGTATAATGTAAGCATTGGTTTTATGAATAGTTATTTATTGTACAATTTTACTTTAACAAATAAGATTAATACATGTATATTTGTTTAAATTTTTGTTTTTAATAAAATCATTTTAAAAATATGTTCATGTTATAAATCTTATGATAAAAATGGTATAGGTTTTAAACTTGCAATATTCTTTAATTAAGCTGGATGCATTTTTTAGTATAGCTATGGATAATAGGATTGAAATGACTTATCATAATTTTTTTTATCTATCTGTAGGTTAAGAAGTTTATTAAAAAGTATAATAAATCATAGATTAGGTTTGAAATTCTGAAGGTTAATCAAAATGAATTATTTAATAAATTTTTAGGACATGGTGCAAACACTGCTAGAGAATGGTGCTGCTATTGATGCCAAAGATAACTCACAAAACACTGCCTTGTTTCATGCCATAGATGGGCTTCAGAAAGAAGCAGCACATGTTAGTATTCTAACCTCAGTGTAGTGTAGATTAAAACATCTGTCTATTCTATAACCTGAGAATGTACAGTGACTTAAATTTATGGGAAATGTTCTTAAATTAATAATATTTTCTAATTTATTGATATTGTTTTAATTTAAGTTATTAATAGAATGGGGATGTGATGTACACTGTCGAAATTCTAAAAGAAGTTCGCCATTTGAGGTAGCCAAAAATGAAGAATTTCGTCTTTTACTTGTTGGTGAGTATGAATTAGTAAATATATAAATTGACAAAAAAATTAAGTATTTTTTAATTTTGTGTAGTTATTTGTTTGCCATAGAAAGGAACTAGTATGCTAATATTAAACTTAAAAATAAACTTGCAAAGGATATATAATAGTTTTATATGAAAGAAGTACACCAATCTATCACAAATTGCATTTAGAAATATGAAGCAGTATAACAATTTAGATTATAATTCCTTTTAATGAAATTTGAAGATTTGACATCGCACAGTGTGCATTTTAAAAAGTTATTTTTAGCAGTCTTTACATTCTTGTATACGTTTGTATTCAAAACTAATCAATTAGTCTGTTGTTTGTCAGGATTTGCTAATTCAATTTTGTAGGTGTCCGTGCAAAGGGAAACAACCAAATATATATTTTAGTAAAACATTTTCCAAGCTTGGTGACGTCCTCTTACTGAAAAAAAAAGATTGTTATACGGTCAAAGGGAAACAACTAAAATAGTATTTATCAAAATAATCTTCCAAGCCCAGTGAAAAACACGGTCAAAGGGAAACAACTCAATTAATATTTTAGTAAGACATCTTCCAAGCTTGGTGACTTCCCCTTACTGAAAATAAACGAAAAATAGAGGTGTGTTCAGTCAAAGGGTGACAATTTTTAAAGGAAAGAGCATTTACTTTTTCTGTCAATGAGGGAAGCGGGTACAAATAGGCAAAAAGAACTGGATGTTATTTATGGTTCACCCTTTATAATGGTTTGAAATATTTTCTTCCCTTAATAAAGAGTTGGACATTTTTATTATTTAAATATATATATTTTAATATTTTAAAAAGAACTGCATATTTTCCCAAACAGATTTGTATAATTATTATTCTACAATTGTGCCAAAGATCATGAAAGGAGATAAAGAAATCATGATAAAAAGCTTAGCAAATCACATAAATGGTGAAAAAAAGTTTCATAACCTACATAGCAGGTATTTTTCAACTTTAACTTTAAATTAGTTAAAATTTTTACATGCTACTGTTGTGTCGACTGATGGAAAAAAATAGTCTGTTTTAACATAAATGCATTTCTCATTTATTTAATAGATGCATAAACGGCAGCACATTGCTCCACACAGCCAGTTACTATGGTTACACAGATGTAATTGAAGATTTACTGCAGCTCAACGTTGATATTAATTTAAAGGACTATAAAGGAGCTTCACCATTACACAGGGCCAAAAATGCTGAAACTATTAAAGTAAGCTTTCAGTTAATAATTGTTCATGTCATTATTGTTTACTTTACTGTATCTCCATGTATACACTGTTATGCCCCAATGAGTACTTTCTTTTTATAGGAGAAAAGATAAATAAATAATTAGACAAACATATAAATTAAAAATAATGTTGAGGTGACATGGCTAAAAATGAAGAAGATATCTGTGAATCGATTGTGTTGAAGAAGTGATGACTGTGTCTAATGTACATAATATTAACATGCAAAGCAGGGCCTAGTTTTTATAATGTGATTGATTCGTTTCTATAATAAAATAAAATATAAATAATTCTAGATGCTGCTAGACAATGGAGCAGACATTGATGCCGAAGATTCTGAGGGAAATACATGTTTGCATGTCAAGTGCTATGGACAGATTGATCAGCCAACAGAGATGGCTGCCATTAAAACACTGCTTGATGAAGAGGCCAAACTTTTAAAAAGGAACAAAAGGGTACACATTCTTACAATAAAAGATTCAATTCTATCATCTATTTATTTTAAATTATTTACAAACTGATTTTTTAAAATCACTCTTACACTAAATCATTAAGGGAAGCTACTCTTTATCAATCCCTAAAAATTATTATTACAGTGAAGTTAATTTTAATAAGGTTACTTAAATTTAAGTATATACATGAAATGTTATAAAAGGTAGAAAGGTTTTTTAAAGAACAAGAACTGTTCAAAGCTTTAAATGTGATTCCCCTTTTAAAAGCACCATCTTTAAAAATTGTGTTAATGTTTAACCTGCCTTTTGTTTTGACAGAACCTGCTACCCATTCACTGCTGTGTCATGCAGGGAAGAATTGATGCCACTGAGCTTTTGTTAGACTATGACCCAGACAACACAGTCAAGAAAACATTAAATAGTGAAAAAGATTTTAACCCTCCAAGCTTGCTACATCTTGCTATAGCTAATAACTTCCTCAGCTGCGCTGAATGGTAAGGAATTTTATCAAATTGAGAAAGTGTTATATCAAACAGGCCTATGTAGTTGTAACATAGCATTTTACATAAGCTAACAATATTCTAAAACTTTAAACAGTAGTTATTAAAAACACCATGTAAAAATATAAACCAGATTATGGTAGAATTTCATTAACATTCTTGTATAGAAGAATTTGAGTCTGAAATTTTTATTAAAAAACCATTTCTTCATTATGTAGTATGTAGTAATATTTAAAAAAAAAGTCAAGTTTAAATCCTTCTTAGTGGCCCTTAGACGACTTGTAATTTGATGCATGACAGTTTCAATGCATGATTTATAAAGCATAACATAATTAACATTTAATGATTTTTCATCAAATAAATTATCTGTAATTTTCAGGCTATCCAAAAGAGGATTCCAATTTAAAGCAAAAGAGCAAGATATTTTACTTCAGAGAATACTAACAGAGAAAGTTAAAGTGTAGGGACTCGAACTGTTCTATTTATTTATTTTAAGAAACATCAAAATTTTCACTGATAATGATGACCAAAACCTATTAGTATTTTTATCCATCACCTCTATACAAATTTTTGTATTAAATTAGTAATAATTTTAAACTGTATTTTAACAGTATTTGCCAGAGATACACACTTGAATTATATATTTAAAAAAAAAAGATAATCCACCACACAATCCTGGAGAAAATAAATAATTTATATAGAAAATAAGTACTTTAAACAATATCTCCCCCCCTCCTGAAAATGTCAGTGTTCCCCTCTCACCCAAAGAAAACCTGCACATCTATTTTTATTTCAGTTCAAACCTCCCTGAAGTGGTGCAGTATCTATTTGATCATGGCGCCAACCCCAACCCCATCTATCCTGATGGGAACACAGCCATCCATTTTGCTGCCAAACAAAGTGGTTCACCAGAGGTCCTGGAGGTCATGCTGTCAAATGGCGCCCAGGTCGACAGCGTCAACGACGAGGGATACACCCCCCTGATGCTCGCTTGTCAAACATGTAGCAAGGTTGCTGCTTGCATTCTCATCAACAATGGCGCTAATGTCAGGCAAAAAAATATGCATGGTATGTTGTCTTTACAACTGCTAATTCAATAATTTGTTTAAAAATACTACATGATTTAGTATAAAGAAAATATTTAAAAAAAAAATTAAACCAGCTTCCATGTTTCTGTGACTACACGACATAAAGGATGTCTGTAACTTTCTAAATTGGTGCTATAATTGCACACTGCACTGACAAAAATCTGATCATTAGTATCATTAGTCGGGTGTGTATCTTGACCTCCGCTGAACAGCTGAGACTGACTCACCAAACCCTTGCAGTTTGATCAAACCCAGATTAAGAATCACTGCTCTAAAATGCTTAGACGGTTTTATTCAGTCTATAAAAAATAGTAGTGAACTTCGGAGCAGCATCGTTAAGTTTTTTGACAATGTTAGACAAGAATTGTATAAAAAAATAAGTGCAAAACTGGAATAACATTTTAATTTAAATAAATAATGATGTCCAAATTTTGTTTTTTTCTAAAATAGAAAATTAATTGCAACCTAAAGTAAAATAAAAAACCATACTAGATTGATGTGGATTTCCCAAAATCTAAGACAAACCTAATCAGTGCCTTTTTACCATAGATTAAAAAATAAATCAACTACATATAAGCCAGCAAAAGTGAAGGAGTTGGACTTACTCATAGTTCTTTTTTTTTTTACAGGTCAAACAGCTTTAGACTACATAGAAGATTATGAAGAATGGATACAATCAGGGTATTTTTCTGATGAGGTCATAATCAAACTAAAAGGTGATTTTTATTTTTCTCACTATAAAATTCTCAATAACATGCAATTATATCATGTAAGGAACTGGTAAAATGAAATGTTAATATATATTACCAGTCCTTTGTTTCATCATCATCTTTTCTTGTTGGTGCCCAAGATACATGAAGCAGAGAAAGTAGAGTTAATCTGTTTCAATGACCTCAGCATACAGGGGGGCTGTGGTCAGCACTATGCCCAGCCACCTTTGTTTCCCAAACTTAAGTTAGGTACCCATTAGGGCTCTGTGGACTCAGGGATGTTCTACTGATTTTAACCCGGATTCGAATTTGAAACTTTCGGGTTAGCAGTCTAACACACTACCACTAGGCCACTCTGTCGACCTGTCCTTTGCTTAAGCTGTAACTATTTGTTACATTCTTCCAACAAATTGCCATTGACAAATAAGTTAGTACTCTTAGAAAGAACTATTTTCTAAAAAAGAAATTAAAATTTGTATAATTTTTATTTTAGCATTTGATCTGAAAAACTCCAGAGAACTTGTCAGGGCCATCTCCCATCGCATCAAATCAGCATCAGCAGTGAGCACGACATCGCAGTCATTCCGCTCAGCACCTCACACAGCTGTATCCACCAGGACAAGGTCTCAGACAGCCACCCACAGATCTACACCCCACACTGGGCTCCATTCTCTTCCATCAGCTCAGTCCAGGAAGTCTACCAGATCTTACAAATCTTTACCTGCTATAGAGCACAGGGCTATTTACATTGTTCATTAACTTGATGTTTTTAGAAAAAAATTTCATGTAATTAAATAAGTTGTTTAGATGTTAGCTATATAAAAAGTGAGTAACTTACACATTCCACCAAAAGTTACTTTGTATGCTTACACAACTAAACCTCTTTAATGATTACAACTAAACAGGTTGTATATAGTTGAATAGTATTATACTTATCAGTATTGTAGCTAGTAAAGTATCCTTGAATAGCCTGTTTACAAATTGCTTAAAAGCAAGGTAAAAAAAATATTTTTTCACTCTTGATAAAGATTAGTGTGGGGAGTTAACCTGCCAAGTGAGGCAATCAACCTACAAAAACTTGACCTCAAAGCTTCATTTTAATTCATGTAGTTATAATTTATTTGTAAGCAGCATTTGTATACCTCTAAGCAGTTATGTTATTGAAGAAGTATTTTTATACAAGTAGTTTATGTCATTCAATTAAAACATCTGTGATATATAAACAACTTCTACTATTTTTCTTTGTATGTGTGCTTACAGCACTTGATAGACTCTAAACCAAGTGTAAGAATGCCCAATAGTGTAGGTGAAAAACACTGCCTCCGTAAATACTGGACACCAATTTTATAACTACTATCAGTTCAATGAAAATCCTAATAACTAAATTTAGAACCACATTGTCCCATCAGACCAGCTCACTAAATTCACAAAACAAATCAAATAAGCTACAGATAACAAAACTCAAATTTGTGTTAAAACTTCAATGTTTAATGATTTATAAACAATGTACAACACCCATCCTATTTTATTCCTAGCTCATTTATTTGATGTCCTGATGTACACATATTTGTACCCAGAACTTTGACAAACTATGGCAGTAATAGGTTTCACTGGGGTAATCAAGTAAACAGACTACATAGCAATACTAATCAAAGCAATAATTCTATAAACAAAAAATCTAAGAGCCACAGACTGTTACTGCAAAAGAAAAATAATTTTAGTAGATATTTTAAAAAACTAAAAGGTTTCACTAGTCATCTAATAACATGAATGAAGTGGAGTTCTGAAAAAAAAAAAACTTAAAAATTATCATCAGAACCAAGCATCTCTTGACTGGTAGGATCTGTAGGAAATGAATGACAGAAGCAACATGCACAAAAAGAAAATAATACTACTGATCTCAACCCTATGGCAATAATAAATACCATGCTTGTTAAAACAATGTGGAAGCTTATTAAATGTTCACAGAAAAAAGGCTTTAAAAAATGTTGGCGGGATTATCTCAAGGCTAGTGTTGGAACCATGTCCTTAATTTTAACAATAGCAGCAGGAAAATACCCTAAATATATTACTGAATTATCCAGCCAGCATTTTTTTTTATAAGAACAGAGAAAGCAATGAGGGAAGTTGAAATCTGCAAGATAACTGTAAATCAAAGTATACAGTAAGAAAAAATGTGCTGCAATAGTTCCAGTATTGTTCCAGTCTTGGGTGTCTGAAATGCAATAATTTGATCATAAAACTTTAAGTCACCAGAAACGTATAGTAAACTACTTGAGTCATCTTGAGAAATCTGATCTTGGCAAACTGTTACGAAGGGAAAAAAGTATAAACCTTGAACCTGAAAAAAAAACAACAACCAAATTATTTTGAGGCTTCCCTTGATCTGAAATAATAAAGCAATCATGTATCAGCTCTTACCTTGGCGCCAAGGTGATACAAGTCAATGTGGTGCCAAGAGTCCAGCAGTCTTGTTAAGAGATTTTACCAAAGAATACAATCCTGTAGGATGATTTCCCACTAAGTTGTAGGCAGTTAGTGAACACGCATTAGCTTTGTTCTAAACATGATACAAGCACCACGTAGAAGCATTTATTTATTTCGTTACACCGCAACAGTTATCTGTTAGGTTCAGGAAAAGTTCTTTCAAACATTCAGTAGTGATTCACTCCGTCAAGTTTCTTGATATTTTTCAGCTGCTTATTAATAATCGCCCTTTGTTTTTAAAAAAATCATTTGATGCACATTTTGATGCTCAATAATTACAATAAAAACATATTCATGTTAAAAATTATAAAATGTATATTTACATAGGATGTCTAGGTTTATTATTTAAAATGGACATTAACCAATTCTAGCCTTTTAAAGCATGTAAAATTAACATAAAATGTACAGTGCATCTGACAAAGACATTTCTGTTGATTCTGGATCTACAACTTGTTTTGATAAAATCCAGTGCTAGCACCTCCCCTGAATCCTCTACGTCCTCTGGCTCTAAAGCCTCCACGACCACGTCCACCTCGGTTTCCTCTGATGTTATAATTTGTGTATGAGCCTGTTAAAAATAGACATTAAAACATCCTAGAAGATATCTCAGAAGTATCTACAGATGAGATGAGAAGATGACGGCAGAGTAAAAAAAGGGCATGAGGTAAAAAAAATAATTCATTACTAACCAGCTTTGTCACTGAACTTCCCACTGGGTGGCTGATACAAGGTCCGAGCTTGTTTAGGGTTGTTTTTCTTGCCATTAGCTTCATCATATGTAATTGGGGTAATGTTACGCTTTTGTCTGTGAAAAAAAGAAATACCTCATCAATCAAAATTAGCCTATAATAAAATCTAACACAACTTGATGTATGTCTAACTGCAGAGGGTTATGATCACGGTTTTAGATAATATTAGTTAAATATCAAAACTCATTTCATAGCACATGATAATAAAACTGACAAAACACAATTTTAGCAGATTTTTAAAACTTTTCCCTAAAATAATTGATGAGTTAAAAAAATATAAATAAATCAAATGCTGTTATACCAATTGACATTTTCCAATCTACTCTAGGGGTGTATTTTTATTTATGAAAGCCCCTTTAATATACACTGATCTTGTGAAATTGAAATGAGCATAAATTTAAATACTTACCCAGGTGAAGTGGTTTTTGCAATGTCTCCACTTTCATTGGGTTTGATTTCCTGAAATGATAACAGGCCTTAATGTTAATACACACAAAAAAAGTATCAAGTCTAATAAAATATAAAACCGTAAATCAATACAATTGTTTTGCTACCTACAGATGGAGCAAGGAAAAAAAAAACAAAACCCCTTGTTAAAAATAATAACCTTTCTTATAAAAAGAATATTTCTGAACTCACCCTAGTTGGCCTCCAGGAGAGTGTAACATTTACTTTGTAGGCTGGTGGATTGTGCATTAGATCCTTGACCAGCATTGTGATGTTTGTGAACAGCTTTAGAGCAACAATTCTCTTCTTATTCTGTACAAATATTTTATGCAGTGTGTCAGAAGTAAACAAACAAAAATAAAAAAAGTGTCAAAAAGTAAATGTAAACTAACTTAAAGCTAAATTACCTATTCAGTTCATTCTTACCTCTTCAGTTCTTAAAGCATCACCAGTTTTGCCTTGTAATGCTTCTTTCAGACGTTTAATACAAATTTGACTTCCGCGAGCAAAGTACTGTAATCTAATTTCAACAAAAATACAAGTTAATATAACAAATAATGGTTTAATTAAGAAATTCAGATAATTTTATAATAAAATTAAAAAAAAAAAAGGTGTGACCAATACATGTTTTCCTTTGGTCTACTACAATAGATTGAAGTATGTATTAAAATTTAACTCACCGTACTCTAAAATCCTTCAATCTGTCAACATTTGCCTCATCAGACAAAAAACCAGGACACTTCCTGGCCAGCTGATGGAAAGCAAATAACAGGCACTCAACTTGAGAAAAACTCAACTTTGGTTCCTCAGTTGAAGATTCTTCTTTCTCATCGGAGGGTGGCAGTGGCATGTACTCCTAAAAAACAAAATTTAAATATTAATACAACAAAAGTATAAAACAATAGAAAATGTGCATTCTCATTTTCAGCACGTTCCCTTCAGTGTGAAGGACACATGGGGCAGATGAAAGCTGTGACACCAACCCTGAGCTTTTTAACCCAATAAAAAAGAACTTTACAAAATGGGTAGCCGAAAGCCATTTTCTCAAATTAATTTAAGTATAATGACATTTATTAATAGGAAACAAAGCTGCTTGTATTAATCTTTTTTGAGTCAATAACTACTCCAGGGCCGCCTAACCAAAAACAACTCAGCACTAAAAACAAGATTTTCCTATACAACGTTTACCACTGTTTGAGTTAATTTGAACACATTACCAACACGATTTTTTTAGTGTCTGTTATGCTTAAAAAAAAAAAAAAACAATACAGACACATTGAGATTAGATCCACACAAAAAGAGCAGCGCCTACTTAAACATAGTGCTTATTTTACAGAGATATCCTGTAAAGAAATACGCTGTCATAAAACAGCATTGGTCAATAATTGATAAAATGTTAAGCTGCCACAGCACATTCACAGGCTCACAGTGAGTTCACATACGGTAGCTCACTCAATTTTACTTTCCCTAACTCAAAGCAAGTAGCCTACCAATTACATTAAGGTTTATAAAACAAAACATGTACTATTAATATTGTGTCACAACATATGATAAACAAACATCACCAATTTTACAAGCATCATTTAATTTTAAGTAAAATAATATGAACACACAGAAATATAAAAATAATAAATACTAACCAGCATTGCCAAGAAAACAGTGTTGACTCTTTTTTCCAAGTTGTCCAAGTCTCCAGCAAACTCTGATATTTCAGCAAATGTTTTCAGAACTTCAAGTTGGATGTTTGTCTCTTCGTCAGGGCTTGCCAAGTCCTTTAACACTGGTAGGACATGATCACACAAATACAAAACAAATGGCTTGGAGTGAACATTTTTCTGAGGAAGGAAATATAAAAAATGCATCAAATATAAAATTCTGGTATAAAAAGATTTAAAAGCGAAATTGTTTAACACAAATGAAATATACTTGAAATCAAACTAAATGTTGATGGTAAAATATTTCCAATTAAAATATTTGTATCCTTGGTAACTTACTGAAAACATGGGTGATGCTGATTTGACACAATGTAAAAGTCTATCAACACAATCAGGATCTGCAGCCTATAAAAGAGATATTGAATAAATTAATTAAAATGAAATAACAATTCTATGATGTTTAAGTAACAATTCACAATAACTCATTGTTGCTATGAATGTCAATAGCACATGAGTAACTAACCTCAAAAGGTTCATCAAGAGCAGCTTGATCAACTACCATCTCTACAAGCTGTTGCCTAGACTGAACTGTTGCCATTGTCTTTAAACTTCGAAGTAATTCCATTACAGCAATAAACTCATCCTTGGTAACATCTTCCAAAAGCTATTAAGGATAAAAAATAGACAGATATATTAAAATAGAAAAGATTCTAAGAACTATTTTTTATGGAAATATTTTTTTCTCTATATGTTGCTCTAGAAAGAGGGGTGGCGGCAGTGGAATGCCCAGGTGCACCCCTCCTTGGAGAAAGTAATACTGGTTATGAGCACATACAGAATACACTCCAACAAACAAGCTTATAACCAGCTGACTTGGGCCCTTATCATAATATAACAAGACAAGCATTACACTGCAAACAAATAACGTTAAAATATTAAACTAACCTTTTTTGATTGTTCCATTATAAAATCCTCAATATCTTTCTCAAGATCCCCAAGTTGCTTAATTTTAAGAACAAGAAAACGAAGCAATCTCTCTCTTATGAGACCTAAAACCTCATCTTCCTCTTCAGGGCTTTGTAAAAGTCTTGTGAAAATTCCTTCCAGAGCACCTAAATTTAAACAACAAGTAATGGTAATCAATAACAGAATATCTTGTTGCTGACCACATTTTAAAATGGGGCTAAAGGAATAAAGGAACTCAAAAAAAAAAACAAAAAAAAAACAATAAAAATTTATCTAGAAAGTAATTGAAGCACTTTAAAATAACATTTATTTTTCACCCTTAATGCCACACAAATATAACTAAAGTGATATGAGAAAAACTTTAAAGTACCTTTAATATTAATGGAAAATAAACTGTACAAAGATCCTTGAATTCCAGAAATTTCATGTGCATCTTCACTACCAAGTAACATTGCCAGAGCATCTGCAAATTTTGAAACTTTATCTGGGCATGTTCTGCAAAGGGCAGGAATGTCTTTCACAGTCTGTTTTCTAATCTGTAGAAATAATAGAAACACTCAGTCAATGACTAATGATTTTTAAAGGTGAAAATATAACAACCATTTCTGTAAGATAATTACATGATATGCTAAAATGAAGGTTGCTTTAAAAATAAACCGGGAGTGATCTCCCCTAAACTTTCTCGAATATTCTTATATAAAATAACAGGGGATGGGAACTCGGGCTATAGACATGATTTTTAATCCATTTTAAATACTTAAAGTTTTAAAAATAGAATAAAATCTCGTAGACAAATTAATTGCACACCAAGTGAACGCGAAATAAAAAAGCGCATAATAGTGCGCAATATTATTATTACTTTTAAAATTTACATTAGTTTTTTGAGAAATCGGAAGTAGCGTAAAGTACTACTTCCAGTCAACGGAAATGAATCAAAATTTAATAGAAGGTAGAGAATTAGATCTTTTACTTACGTATGAAATTTCATTTATCTATCTGAAATAGTACTCAAGTTATAGGCTTTTGAAAAATTCAAAGTAGGAAAAGTACCACTTCCGGTTATCGGAAATCGCTCAAAAGTTGATACGGATCTACGATTTTGATTAAATACTTATATATGAAATTTCATCAACCTAGCTGTAACGGTACTCAAGTTATCGTGTTTACACACGGACACACACACACAGACAAGATTGCAAAATTATGTTTTTCCGTATCAGTGAGATGCAAAACGTCGAGATTTGCAAAAATCTCGATTTTTTTTTTTGCACGATTACAAGACTTTCTCTATACTTCGTATATACGAGAAAGTAAAAAAAGTACTTACACTTGCATCTGAATCCTCACAAAGCTTCTGAGCATTAGGAAAATATTTGAAAAATCTACAAATGAACTGAGATGCTAGTCTCTTCTCGCCAACATTACCCTTAGCTGCAGCCAAAAATAAACGGAATTCTGCCTCATGCTGAAATAAAAGCAATAATAATAATAATTAGTAATCCTTTAATTTTAAAAACTTTAAACAAAAAACTTGCTTATAAAACCCAATTGCTATATCAAACACATAACTTCTCCAAAGGTGAATGTTTTAGCTTTTTTAACAAAAAAAAAAACATTGTTAAAGATAATCTGTTGCAGTTAGTTTATGTTTAAGTAGATGATCAGTTACGCCCTCTAAATCTTAAGTAATAAATCAGGGCTTAAGAGTATTTTTATAAACAAATAATTATACATCCTTTTAGTAGTTCACAATGCTATTCAACCATCAATTACCAGTTTAAATTTTACATACAATAAATATCAGGTAAAATAGCATGTTCGTTTTAATCAAATTATATTCATGATTCCAATTTCTGAAAATTTTTCTCTAAACAAAAAATCTAAGGGATGTGTCTTTTTTTTTTTGGCTGCAAACATGCCCGCAATCACAACACACACGAAAAAAAATTATAAGGAAAGTTCAGTAGCCCAACCCTTTTACGAATAGCAGTGAAAAGTTGTGAACTTTTTCTCTCTGCTAATAATCTAGTATGTTCACAATCACGTCAAAAGCAGGAAGAAATTACAATTAAGCCTATACAATTTGATTTGGTGAAAACAAAAGAGTAAAGTCACAGCTGTCTTTGAAAAATAGCAAAAATATAATGAAACGAGCAGAACCCGCGGCGTATCATACAGCGCTATTTTGTTGTTTTATTTTCTACTTTTCAGTAATTAATAATTTGTGAATTCGACAGTACCAATGCTGCCACTAAAAATATTTGCTTTAAAACACTATCAGATGGTTGTTAAGGACGATACCCCTCATCCTTTCCCCCACCCTTGAAAGCAAACTCCTCTTAGTGACCTCCCCTAAGTTTAAAATCGTTCCAAACTACATTATCTGCCCCTAATAGCCGTCACTAAACCCGGCTCTATGATTGTAAACATTTAGCGTGAACCACAGTTCACCGTACCATGTAGGGGTGGGGGTGGTAGGGAGCGCGCTTAAAGCTTGGTGTTTTCTATCGTCTCCAAGAAGAGAATTATATATATAGATGAAGGCGAGTAGCCTAGACCTGACCCCGGGGTGACTGTCGCAAAGTGTTCTACTTGAAAATAACAATGCCGAGCTATAGGCCTACCCTTTTTGTTATTTTTTTTTTATAAACCTATTAAATTTATTTATAATAGTTCATTTTCAGACTGGCTATAGGCGATTCGACCATAAAAAGTAAGCAAAAGGTAAAAAAACAAAAAGATTAGCGAGAGTGTCTGACCTAGTAGTAGGCCGTTCGAATTCACAGCTTCCGGGTTTGTTGTTTTGAAGCCATCTCACGGCTCATGCGCTTACCAAAAATGGCGACCAGTTTCGCTTTCACTAATGGGTAGAGCAATAAAACTAATGATTACGAAGCCATCGTTAATTTAAGAAATCGGAACTATCCGTTTCTATTTAAGTCTGTTATTTAAGAATTGTCGGATCTACTTTTGGCCTAATTTCTATGTTTGTCTCGCAAGCGGCGCCTTAGTGAAAGTAGCTCTATATAATTCTTATCTTTTGAATCAAATAACTATAAAATACCGCAGGTATTTTTAACCAGACTATTGCTATTTTTTACTTGAAAGCATTAATTTTACACACGTTACAATAAACTGGTAATAATTTATGGTAGGCATGAGATATGCTCTGTAAGAATAATAATGCCATTTTATTATAATCTTTTTTGGTGAACACGAAAATGTGTGACGCGCAAGAATCCAATCATTCGGCTAGATTTATGACTGTTTTTTATGTCACACCTAAAAATAGAATGTTTACGCTTTCTTCATTGATGATCGTTTTCATTATTTTTTTAAACTGAAAGTATGAATTATTAGTTAGATTTCAGGTTTTGTAACTTGGTATACTTACCCTTTATCAAAATTAAAAGCATAGCATGCTGATTGTGAACAAATATAGTCATAAAACACAAATATAAAGTTACAAACAATGCGATGTCGGGATGTGCCACACCCCCTCAAGAAAACATGTGTTTATTAAGCTGTTTATCTCACTTTACAACAGTAATTAAAATTAATTTTCAAATTTTTATCACTTATTGGGTAAGATTAAGCACATATTTACTAAAAATGAAAAAAAAAACAAAAGCAAATTCTGTTTTAATGAAGGTCACGGGTCAAGTTTTTTTTTCCTTCTGTCATGTTCAGTGGAGGGTGCCACAGGCTGACCTGACTTTGGAATTTTTTTCAGTAATAATGACTTTGCACAGAAAGTTAAAATATGCTAAATTGGCTTAGTTTACTAGTGTGCAAGCTATTATTGATACATTTTTAATAAAAAAATCATTCTGTAATTCTCATCAAAAAACCTACCTAGTAGTCTGGCGCATTGCTTAGATGGTAGGATTGACCTCTGACCCTGAAACGTCACGCGTCGTTTTCTGACGGGTTTTACGTTTATTTTAGGGGTCCCATCCACGACAAATGAAAAAACTGTTTATATCGCAAATTCTCATCATTATTTTAATGCAAATTGCTAATAAAATGGATAATATGCCTTAGAATGCCAGAAAAAATCGCAAGATTCGTGGTTGTAAATAATGAGAGGATGTCTAGTGGAGCACTCTCCGTAAAAACTGAACCGCCGCCAAAAACGACCGACTAACGGGGAAAACGGCTCGACTAACTGTACATTAATATATAATTGATATATTTATCATGTATATTTACAGTATTTTTTATTACTTTTTCCAAAATCTCACTCGAGGATGAGGTACCCCCGCTGACATTTCTATCCGCTATTTTTAGTATCATGACGTCATTGTTACGCTAGTTACCTCACAGAAACAACTAGTTTTTGTTTTTTGCGGAATGAACTGTTAAATCTAGTATTTTAATTATAATTCAATTGTAGCATGTGCGGAAAAAGTAAAATTATGGACATTATTATTGTATTAGTAATTTTATTAGTATATTGATTTTTTTTCTTCACCGTGGGCCGACAGTTGCTGCATTCGTGACCTGTGGTTAACCTCGTCAACGCTGCGTGGCCTATTCGTTTATATAATCAGTGATGCTCGTTCTGTGGCCTTTTTCAGAGCTAGGCCTAATTACGGGCGATTTTTAGACTTAATTGATCGGCCGTTAGCCTTTTTCATTGCTGCGTATTTAAAAAAATGCTCGTTCAGCGGCCTTTTTTTTTTGCGCTAAATAATCTGTTTACGGGCATTTTAAACGTTTATTTATTTATTTTTTTTAAGCTAGACGTAGATCTAGTTTTTAAAAAAAAAATTTTTATACAGCTGGCTGTCTAGCATGCCTGATAATGATATGTGAACTTTTTAAAAAATGACCGAACTTTTAAAAAAATGTCCAGAAGTAGGGAAGTAGGTCTGTTTTTCAATTTGCTTGAAGAAGGGGGGGGGGGGGGGGGGAGGGAAGAGAGAGAGAAGTGAAGACACCGACCATCTCGTGTACGCGTGTTCATTCTATGACGTGTACTATAGGCCTGCTGAACTCACGGTGACCCGCGACCGTGGTGGGATTTTTCATCCACAGGATAGTAAACGTAAGCAAGCAATCACGCGAGTGACGATGTTTGGAGATTTTATTTTTTTAAAAAAATCACATACGTCATGTTTTCAAGATGAAAAAAAATGTAATGTAAAAAAAAAAAAAGACACTAATACCATGTATGAACCTCAGCTGCCACACTGTTGACTCAATATTGAGTGTAAAATGTATTTTTATTTATAAACTATCTTAACTATTACACTATCATATTATTTTATGCATATATTATTTAAAATTAGGATTTGAAATAAAAATATTTATTATGGTCATTTGATTTATGCAGGTGCTCATTATTTCATAAAATGGTATGAATAACATGTAGAGTAGAATTTAATAAATAATAAAATAACTAGATCTAGTTTTATTATCAACCAGTTGCTTTTTGTTCAGTTGCTTTTTGTTATTTTCCGGTGAGTAAATAACCTAAGCTGACGCAATTACCATGGCGGGAATTAATAGCTCGTGTACACACGTCCACGACGTAATGTTATGCAGGTCGAGGGGCTAAAACGCGGTTTTGTCTTTCATTTTCCAATATCGGAAAAATTTCAAATTCTCTCTTTTCTCGTCAACCGAGTAAGCTAGATATTCAAATGTGGTGTCAAATGTTCTCTTAAGGGGTAAGGAACTTAATGGTGTATTTGAAATAACAGAATATTTTATTTTAAAAAATCCATAATTCAACCTACTACCTAGTAGGCCTAAAGTTTGAGTAAAGTTTGACCATTACACTGGAACTACAGTCTACATATAATACTACTAGATCTAATTGTCAAATTAATTGATTAGGGTAAGAATTTGAATTGTAGGCCTAAAAAATTAAATTAAATCATTCAAATCTTAGGTTTAGAACTTTAGGCCCTATCTTTAAAAATTTAAAATTGTTTCGTTAACAATAGTCAATGACTCAATAGTAATAGGTAGGTTGAATTATGGATTTTTTAAAATAAAACATTATGTTATTTCAAATACACCATTAAGTTCCTTACCCCTTAAGAGAACATTTGACACCACATTTAAATATCTAGCTTACTCGGTTGACGAGAAAAGAGAGAATTTGAAAATTATCCGAGAATGGAAAATGAACGACAAATCAGCGTTCTTACTCCTCGACCGGCATAACATGACGTCGTGGACTTGTGTCCACGAGCTTTTAATTCCCGCCATGGTAATTGCGTCAGCTTAGGTTATTTACTCACCGGAAAATAACAAAAAGCAACTGGTTGATAATTAAAACTAGATCTAGTTATTTTATTATTTATTAAATTCTATTCTACATGTTATTCATACCATTTTATGAAGTAATGAACACCTGCAAAAATCAAATGGCCATAATAAATATTTTTATTTCAAATTCTAATTTTAAATAATAAATATGCTTAAAATAATATGATAGTAATAGTTAAGATAGTTTATAAATACAAATACATTTTACACTCAATTCACATTATGGGGATGATTATATTGAGTCAACAGTGTGGCAGCTGAGGTTCATACATGGTATTAGTGTCTTTTTTTTTTCTTACATTACATTTTTTTTTTCATTTTGAAGACGTATGTTATTTTTTTTTTCTTTTAAAAATCTCCAAACATCGTCACTCGCGTGATTGCTTGCTTATGTTTACTATCCTGTGGATGAAAAATCCCACTACGGTCGCGGGTTCACCGTGAGTTCAGTACACGTCATAGAATGAACACGCGTACACGAGATGGTCGGTGTCTTCACTTCTCTCCCCCCTCCCCCCTTCTTCAAGCAAATTAAAAAACAGACCTACTTCCCTACTTCTGGTCATTTTTTTTTTTTAAAGTTCGGTCATTTTTTTTTAAGTTCACATATCAGACATGCTAGACAGCCAGCTGTATAAAATTATTTTTTTTTAACTAGATCTACGTCTAGCTTAAAAAAATAAATAAATACACGCTTAAAATGCCCGTAAACTGATTATTTAGCGCCAAAAAAAAAAGGCCGCTGAACGAGCATTTTTTAAAATACGCAGCAATGAAAAAGGCCCAATTAAGTCTAAAAATCGCCCGTAATTAGGCCTAGCTCTAAAAAAAAGGCCACTGAACGAGCATCACTGATTTATATAAACGAATAGGCCACGCAGCGTTGACGAGGTTAACCACCGGTCACGAATGCAGCAACTGTCGGCCCACAGTGAAGAAAAAATCAATATACTAATAAAATTACTAATACAATAATAATGTCTATAATTTTACTTTTTCCGCACATGCTACAATTGAATTATAATTAAAATACTAGACTTAACAGTTCATTCCGTAAAAAACAAAAACTAGTTGTTTCAGTCTGGCAACTAGCGTAGCAATGACGTCATGATACTAAAAATAGGGGATAGAACTGTCAGCATGGGTACCTCATTTTGGGATAAGATTTTGGAAACCAGAATCAATAATAATGTAAATATACAAGGTAAATATCTCAATTATATAATAACTTAGAGTCTGTCGGGCCGTTTTCCCCGGAGGTCGGTCGTTTTTAGCGGCGGTTCAGTTTTTACGGAGAGCGCTCCACTAGAAATCCTCTCATTATTTACAACAACAAATATCTCGATTTTTTCTGGCATTCTAAGGCATATTATCCATTTTATTAGCATTTTGCATTAAAATAATGATGAAAAATTGCGAGATTAACAGATTTTTCATTTGTCGTGGATAGGACCCCTAAAATAAACGTAAAAACCGTCAGAAAACGACGCGTGACGTTTCAGGGTCAGAGGTCAATCCAGCCATCTAAGCAAAGAAACGGCCTAGTAATAGGCCCTAACACAAGAACAATTATGTAGCCTAGACCTAAGAAGAATCTAAGTCAGTGTAAACTTGTCAGATGATTAGATCTAGATCTCTCTACTGTTCTTGATCTATAATCAAGATTTAGATCTCTGTCTAGTCTATGCCTTGTCTAAACTTGGAAGCCTTACTAAAAAATGATCATACTTTTTGATAAACCCGAAAAGATGGCTACTTCCTTAGCTTGCGTCTTGCAGTGTGGTTGTTAGATATTATAGTACAGATTTATATAATATTTCCCAATGTAAATTATATTCAAATTCTGTAAATTATTGTTTTAAAGCAGTCCTCATTTTTACTTACCTCGCCAGCCTTATCTTTTGCATCAGCTAAAACGCCAAAAGCTTTGTAAAGGTTCTCTACTGTCGTCATTTTGTAAGCAACGGAGTTTACACCAATCAATGATTGCCAGATTTTTAAAAGAATTTTGGAAGTGCCAGCAGATTTTTTCAGACACCAGAGGTTATGATAGACTGCTAAAAGAGATCTAGTCTAGATCTAGATATTATTCACCATTCTTTAATTTGATAATTAATAATAATATCTAATCTATATCTAGATAGAATTTTCAGAAATAATTTCAACATAAACTCTATAACACGGCACGTTTCAACACATTTATTTAAACAAATGTAGGCTTCCGTAACATACAGAAAAAAAAACAACAAAAAACAGGCCTAACACACTTCACTAAACTAGTCGCTTCACAATTATCCTTATACTTTGCCTTATAGTCCTACCTAAATATTGTCAAAGTGCTTTGGTCCAATATTAAAAGATGGTTCTCTACAGGCATGTATTTAGACAGTATGACAAATTAATGTAAAACAGGTAAAATGTCAGGCTATTTTCAAATTATTTGAAGCAGTGGCGTAGCCAGGATTGTCTCAAGGGGGGGGGGGGGGGGCTCCAATTTTTACCCGGGGACAAACTTTCGATTTGCACCCCCCTCAAACTTTCGATGTGCACCCCCCCTCATACTTTTTATATATATACCGAGGGGTCTATGGGGGGGGGTTATGACCCCCCCCCCCTAACCCCCCTGCCTACGCCACTGATTTGAAGCACTTCTTCCTATAGACGTTTTTCAACTTTCCATCACTCAGTGCGGATTAGGGCATGCGGTAAATAAAACAAATATAAAAAAGACATTTTTTTAATAAGGCTTTTAAATGCACAGAAAATTAAAAAATAAATTAAGCAAACTTGGTTTCTTTAATAAAAGAATTGGTTGCTAAAATTTAAAAAAATTCATGAATGACCAATGCTATTTATTGAAGAAAGTCAATTTATTTAGTAAAAAATAAAGATCTAGTAGACTTTTGTAAAGTCTGGGGTCGTCCATAAATGACGTCACACTCGTATGAGGGAGGGGGGGGGGGGGTGGGGGGAGTCCGTAATTTTTGTGACGGTGTGTGAAAAAGACAAATAGAATCGTTATGAAATATATATTCTTTATCGGAAAACTTTCGAATCCCATGTTTGCTGTTTGGAAAGGTATTGATAGACTGGTTATACAACAGTCTAAGAGAATGTAAATTTGTGTATTTGTACGCGTGTGCATGTGTGTGTTAGTGTAAGTGTATGACACCAGTACCAGTAGGGAATATTTATGTGTGCTGTATACAATGATAAACAGAACAAAGTATACATTATTATAGCTTTTTTTAAAAACACTTGTGCCTGGGGCTCGAGTTCTCATTTTCTAATGTCAATTACGGTAATTTACAATATTAATTCCATCATTCAGATTTAACAACCCGTCTAATTTCCTGGCGATTAATACAGTATTGATTAATCCTTATCTTCTGACTCTCTTTCCATACACCCGATGTCTAATAGAATTTTAAAACTACCTTCTCGTTGTTCACTAATATATATATATATATATATATATATATATATATATATATATATATATATATATATATATATATATATATATATATATATATATTGCTATAGATATATAGATATACAGATGTAGATGTAGATGTAGATGAAGATGTAGATGTAGATGTAGATGTAGATGTAGATGTAGATGTAGATGTAGATGTAGAGGTAGAGGTAGAGGTAGAGGTAGAGGTAGAGGTAGAGGAAGAGGTAGAGGTAGAGGTAGAGGAAGAGGTAGAGGTAGAGGTAGAGGTAGAGGTAGATGTAGATATGGATATGGATATGGATATGGATATGGATATGGATATGGATATGGATATGGATATGGATATGGATATGGATATGGATATGGATATGGATATGGATATGGATATCGATACAGATACAGATACAGATACAGATACAGATACAGATACAGATACAGATACAGATATAGATATAGATATAGATATAGATATAGATATAGATATAGATATAGATATAGATATAGATATAGATATAGATATAGATATAGATATAGATATAGATATAGATATAGATATAGATATAGATATAGATATAGATATAGATATAGATATAGATATAGATATAGATATAGATATAGATATAGATATAGATATAGATATAGATATAGATATAGATATAGATATAGATATAGATATAGATATAGATATAGATATAGATATAGATATAGATATAGATATAGATATAGATATAGATATAGATATAGATATAGATATAGATATAGATATAGATATAGATATAGATATAGATATAGATATAGATATAGATATAGATATAGATATAGATATAGATATAGATATAGATATAGATATAGATATAGATATAGATATAGATATAGATATAGATATAGATATAGATATAGATATAGATATAGATATAGATATAGATATAGATATAGATATAGATATAGATATAGATATAGATATAGATATAGATATAGATATAGATATAGATATAGATATAGATATAGATATAGATATAGATATAGATATAGATATAGATATAGATATAATAATTCCAAACATCTACATAAAATAATTCTAGAAATAGAAACCAAAGGAAGTTTTCTTTCACTATACTATTCAATATTAAAATTCTTTGTAGCCTACCGCGTTGTCTTAAAAATCTGACACAAAAAAAAAAAAAGAAAAAGAAAGGCGCTAAGTTCACTTCATATTATTTTCAGGAGGGCAGCCGGCGTAAGGAGATTTTCTTAATGAATAAGAGCCACTGGGAAAAATCGTAACTCATGAGTAACTCTGCCGGTGCGTCCTACACCCTTTTATTAAACTCGAGCGTACGGGCCCGGGGGCGATATAAAGAATTCTCTCGAACTGGAGTGACAGAGTACATTGGAGGCAAGACTGAGAGGGCGAAAATACACGAAGCCATACTCATAACCTCATTATATATATATATATATATATATATATATATATATATATATATATATATAGGCCCTATATATATAAGTATCTCACTATATACTTCTTGTAGTGTATCAGTATTGTTATCCTTCCATTGATGCTTAAATATTTATTTTCTTTATGGCTGTTTTTCCTGTAATTTTTCGATCATGGACTTTTGAAAAACTTCAGTTTTATATGGAATCGGCTAGATCACTCTTAAAGGTAGACTATATATTTAAAAAAAATGTTTCTGTTGTGATTATAAAACGTGCGCTTATAAAACTTAATCTTTTTTCTTGTTTTGATATTCCACATGTTGAACGTAGATGTTGTTATCAATATTTTCCATAATTAAATACATTTAAGAAAAAATTACCAACGTTCTCTTTTTTTAGTAGTCAGTAACGTAAACAAACTTGAACTATGTTTAAACTCACTCTAATTTGACAAAAACAGGCAACTAAAATTGTCTTCAATGTTTTAAAAAAAGTGATACCCCAATCCACCGACATCAAAACGTGTCCAATCCACCTACATCAAAAGATGCCCCAATCCACCTACATCAAAACATGCCTCAATCGACCTACATAAAAAGATGCCCCAATCCACCTACACCAAAACATGCCCCAATCCAACAAAACCAAAACATGCCCCAATCCAACAAAACCAAAACATGCCCCAATCCAACAAAACCAAAACATGCCCCAATCCACCAGAACCAAAACATGCCCCAATCCACCAGAACCAAAACATGCCCCAATCCACCTACATCAAAAGATGCCCTACTACACTCAGCTTAAATGATGCCCCAACTCACAGCTCTGCAGCATTGATGAAGAATACATTACCTATCACAATCCTGTAACACTACAGCCATTATATGTATTTCAAAACTTTCGCGAGATCTAAGCTTTTTTTTTGTTCAATATTTAAAAAAAATATCTTTAACTACTAGTAGCGTCGCAGAACATTGACCGCAGTACTCTATATTCTTTACTACATTTTACTTGTACTCAAAATGACGACTTCCTTTACTTTCATTTAGTAGTGTCGGGAGGGTGACACCATACAAAGGGGTAACACAAAAACGAAATATAGCTGATTGTAATGAAAAAGTCTGCTTTTCCCAGTTAGTTCATTAGTTTATTGAGTGCCACTGTCCGGAGCGGAGGTGACACCATATAACAAATAGTTTTAGTCTATCATTCATAGTGTCGTTAGCAGAGGGGTGACACTCTGAGTTACTGCACCGTGTATCACCCGACCTAGCGTCGCCACTGCTTCCATTAAATCATTAACACCTTGATGAAAATGTCGCACTTTGATAAAATCCTTCTCAAAGAATATTATTGGAAAACACTGGGCGACACTTTAAGTCAACAGTGCGGCCCTTTATTAGTTTTAATTTGAACGGGAGCCTGCCTCGCCTAGCCCCGGGACCTCATATTGAAGGGAATAATTGAAGTGACGAGGTGGCTATAAACTGCAAGTTCAAAACACAACTAGAAAACACACACAACACAAGATTAGACAGGGGTTCTTAACCTGGGTTCGATCGAATCTCAAGGGTTCTGCGAGTCAGTCTCAGAGGCGTAGCGAGGGGGGGGGCATATGCCCTCGGGCGCCGACCTTAGGGGCGCCAAAATGGTTTTGAAAAACAAATTGAAAGTTTGAGGGGGCGGGTGCAAATCGAAAGTTTGAGGGGGGGGGGGGTGCAAATCGAAAGTTTGTCCCCGGGCGCCGGGAAGGGTCGTTAAGGGTTAGGTGCAGTGTTTCTTCCAGACTTTTTTCTCCGGGGGGTCTTGTAAAAGTATATGTTTTCTATATAAATTCCATTTAGTTCTGGGGGGGGGGGGGGCAGTAGACTTTCCTCGGAGGGGCGGAGTCCCCCGAAGAGATGCCTGGAAGAAACTCTGCTTAGGTGGAGGTCAAAACACCCCCCCCCCCCCCGACTCTTATGATTGGACTTTGTCAGTGCGGATTATAAAATCATTAAGAAGGATGAGGTGAATGCGCGTATGAACCTGCTGGGGTTCTGTACACCGAAAAGATTGAGAACCACTGTGATAAGCCCATGTATCCTGGTGCGTTGGCAGTGACGTAAATAGAGATTGACAGCTGAGTTTGATCCAACCGGATGTTTGTTGTTTTTTTTAAGAAAAAAAAACCAATATAAATATTTATTTTGTTTGTTTAAAAAAAAAAAAATATAAATATTTATTTTGGCGTGTGGATATTGAGTGGTCGAGTGGTCGAGTACTAGCCCCGCAGTCTTGGGTTTAGATGACTCGAGGATGTCTCTGAGCACACAGCTCAATTAGGTTCCTGTCTCTTGTTGAAAACGCTCTTGGTAACACCAAAGTCAGGAATTTGTCACCCAAAAAATAAAAAAAAAAACAACAAAAAACGCCACTCCATCTTGCCATATATCAACACAAGTCCACCCCCCACCTCATATGAGTGTGACGTCATTGATGGGGCGCCATTAATAAGTAGTCGACCTCGTTCGGACTTGACGGTCAAGCTGGCAGAGGAAGCAGAGTTGAACTGTTTTTGTTGTTGTTGTTGAAACCAATGAAGGCCATAGTGTGGACATCTCTATGCACGGCAACTTTTATCTAATCACAACCCCACAGCTGGGTCTATCAGAAGCGTAGCGAGGGCGGGGCGGAGGAGTGAGGACCGCACCGGGTGACACCATTTAGGGGGGGGGGGTGACACCAATGCAAAAAATTGCAAAATGTGTTGGAGAAAATGCTCTTTTGCCAGTACCATTAATGATTAATTAAAGTTAAATAGACTTTTAAGTACAAATCGACAATTATTACAAGGGGTGGGAGTGATACCATGACGTGCTAACGATAGAGGAAACAATGCTATATATAACTGTATTATTAACAAAATAAATATAAACATCGTTACTGTATAACTGTAAATATATATATATATATATATATATATACATATATATATATATATATATACATATATATATATATATATATATATATATATATATATATATATATATATATATATATATATATATATATATTTATATATATATATATATAATACTCTGTATCTTGTTTGGGGGGGGGGGTGACACCACGAAGTGTCGCACCGTGTGACACCCGACCTAGCGACGCCACTGAGGTCTATTAAGTATTTTTTTTGTACAGGAACCGACGCGATACCTATGGATTAGCCATAAGGCTAATGAAATATTAAACCTCTGGTTTAGGTCCTTGCTTTAAAAAAATTACAAATTACTTAAAAAGGCTCGTTGTAAATAACAGAATGACCGCCCTTGGAAAAAAAAAACGCTCCTGTAGAAATTCACCATTCACACTCTCCAGCGATAGAAAACAACAAAACTATTTTATTTTTTTTACAAATAATGGAGCTTTATTAGAAAGGAACGATAACTCTAAGCTTGTAGAAATGGCCCCATCAGTGTCTTAAACTTACAAGAACTGTCTATTATTCTTTATAAACCGGCACAACGATTTTGTTTTGATTTAAAAAATAAAGAAGCCAACTTAGTTTAAAAATTAAGATGATTTAAATGTTTCCTTTATATTTATATTTAACAAATAAACATGTAGCGAGAAACGCTTATTTTTATAACAAATATTTTTTTTTAAAGATTTATTTCATTTTTAAAATGCAAACGATAAATATACGAAAATCCGGTTATCAATTTTAAAATAATTAAAAATTACTGTAGGCCTGTTGTACGGGATTGAAAAAACTTATGGGTTAACAGGCAGGGGTTGGCCGTCAATCAATAACAAAAGAATAAAAAAAAACAACTAAAAAACGAAACAAAAAAGGTGTTTTTTCTTGTCTACTTGTAACTAATAGTTAAAATGCAAAACTTTTTAAAATTTAATTTAAATTAATCAAACGATCTAGTGTGCATAAGACATTTAAACAAAGATTTTCAGTTGGCATTAAAAAACAGCTCTAGAGCATGAAATAAAAAAATAAAAATAAAGATAAACAAATATATCAATAAAAATTAAAAGTGTAGAAAATATAAATAATATGTAGTAGTTTTTTTCCAGGATTTTAAATAAAACACTTTTCTTCAAAACTCACAAATACAGAGGCTTTCCTAATTACTAAGCTCTACAAAAATAAGGTATTTTGAATTGTATAATTATAACATTTATTATGCTTAGCAATAAAAGTGCACCGCCTTATATACAGTGTTTCTTTCAGACATTTTTCTCCAGGGGAGGGGGTGGCGGGGGGACGGGGTCTTAAACTTTCGGGGTGGGGGTCACTTAAAATTTAGGGGAAGGGGAATGGACAGTGGTCAAAGTATATATTTTCTATATACATTTTTTTTCTAGGGGGAGGGAAGGGTATGCGAGGACTTTCTTCGGGGGGGGGGGGGGGGGGAGTGCGCCCCTGAAGAAATGTCTGAAAGAAACTCTGCTTACATACAAAACAATAAATAGTTAATGATTACAATAACACGATATTATTGTGTACGAGTTCGTTGCCGATGGCAAGCATTGACAACAAACTGGTACATTAATAATTGTAAATGATTTAATTAAGAGATTAGTACCTGCGAATATGTATTGGCATGCAAATAAAATGCAGGTGAATTTACAATTTTTTTACTCAAAAAATAATATAATATCATCAATGCAGATTTAATTTTGCGGATTTTAAAAGGGAAATACTAGTTTCCCAAATTCTCTTGTCCTTGATGATATATATATATATATATATATATATATATATATATATATATATATATATATATATATATATATATATATATATATATATATATATAAATTTGATCTTCAATACATACACATATAAATATATATAAAAAGACCTACGTAGGTATATAAACATATATCATATATGTGTATGTTTGGATACATATAATATCCACCATATTGCCAAGTAGTATATTTTACTGCACTTAAATGTTAAAGTACAAGATCTTACTCATATTTCAAAAACAACATCATAAAATGTAAAAAAAAAATGTGGCAAAAAATTAGGTGTGACTTAATATGCACGAAATGGCCCTCATACTTTAAAGCAACATGACCTTTTAAACGAAAACAAAAAAAATATATATTTGTAAACAATTAGTAAACACCGGGTGTGTGAACGAAAACTCGACAAAGTAACTTTCAAAAACATAAAACGTGAACATATAATACAACGAAACAAACTACAGAAAAATTGTGCTTTACTTTTTAAATATTTTCTATAATAATTAGGAAATATATATCATCACTATGAGCTTTTAACATTCAGTTACCTATTATTGAAAGTTATTTTAAGTGTAAGGCTTAAAAAAAAATCGAAAAAGAATTGTGTTGGTTTGTTTAAAAAACAACTTGTAACTCTAATTTTAATAGTTTTTAGATTGAAAAAAAAGATAAAGCTACTTGTATTAAAAAAACTGAATGGTATAAAAAGTAGCATACAACACAGTTACTAGTGGCGACGAACATTGTATTCAAGGGTGCACTGGCCTGCCAGTTTACCGGGTAAAAACCCCGTGGACCCCGGATAAAAATCCCAGTGGCCCCCCAAGTAAAAATCCCAGTGGGCCCCCAAGGTAAAAATCCCGGTGGGCTCCCAGTTAAAAATCTCGGTGGGCCCCCAGCTAAAAATCCCGGTGGGCCCCCAGCTAAAAATCTCGGTGGGCCCCCAGCTAAAAATCCCTAATGGAACCCAGTTAAAAATCCTAGTGCCCCCCCCCCCCCCAGTTACCCCCCCCCCCCCCCAAGATCTGTATTCTACTACTACTCTGACTTTAAAAATAAAAAAAAAGTTTGGTGAAGTTCTATCAAGCTGAGGATGATCATCAGAATTTAATGGGGGAAAAAAAAAAACGCACCATGAAAATTTTAATTAGGGATCGGGGGGTCTCTTTTAAAATTTCTTGGGCCTCTTGGACACAGCCACTCCACCCCTGGCTACAACACTACACCTGGGATCGGCTAGTCTTAGAAAAAATCCTATTGATATTGTCTGTTTATTGTTAACTTTTGTTTCAATTAAAGTATGCAGTTTTAAACTTATTTATTTAAATTTCTTGTTGGCATTTAAAAAAAAAAAAAAAAACTTCTTGAGCTAGAAAAAAAAATTAAACATAGAAACAAAAACAAAAACCCCTAAAACATGACGTCATCAGCATAGGCTACCACAAAGCAACTGTATCAACAGGACGAATACTAAAAAAGTCACGTGATGGGGGCCAGGTGTGCACATCAAGCCACACCCTGATAGTTTTCCGGATTGATGCATCCGTGGTTCAAAAAGTTCGTCACCATCTCCAGCGAAGTTTCCGGCATGTCGTGCGGCGTCTGGTGGCCGGCGCCGTGGACCACCACACGGCAGAAGTTGTTGATCTGCGTGTAGAAGCCCTTGAGCTTTTTGCCCGCATTCATATTCCATATCTTTCTGTTGAGAGACAAGTACAAGATATGTAGGTAAGTAAGGGTAGTTCACATAGGCAAGTAAGGGAGGTTCACATTCGGTAGTTCTGTATAGAGACAAGTACAATCTTTATAGGCAAGTAAGGGTGGTTCACATTGAATAGCTCTGTAGGTAGACATGTACAAGTAATATAGGCAAGTAAGGGTGGTTCACATTGAATAGCTCTGTAGGTAGACACGAACAAGTAATGTAGGCAAGTAAGGGTGGTTCACATTGAATAGTTCTGTCATGAGACAAGTAAAAGCAATACAGGCAAGTAAGGATGGTTCACATTAATAGGTTTTGTAGAGATAAGTATAATTTTTATAGGCATGAAAAGGTGGTTCCCATTGAATAGTTCTGTAGAGAGACACACGTAAAAGCTATATAGGCAAATAGAAGCCCTTGAGCTTTGTGCCCTAATTCATATTCCGTATCTTTCTGTTGAGAGACAAGTACAAGGTATGTAGGTAAGTAAGGGTGGTTCACATTGAAAGGTTTTGTATAGAGACAACTACAATTGTTATAAGCAAGTAAGGGTGGTTCACATTAAATAGTTCTGTTGAGAGACAAGTACAAGCTATATAGGCAAGTAAAGACAGTTCACATTGGGTAGTTAGGTAGAGAGATTAGTACAATCTATATAGGCAAGTAAGGTGGTTCACAATGAGTAGTTATATTTGAAAGAAATAGCACGCTGTATAGGCAAAAACGGAAGTGCCATACTGTTAGCAAGCCCTATACAATTGTGTCTAGAACTTAACTATAGTTGTATATATATATATATATATATATATATATATATATATATATATATATATATATATATATATATATATATATATATATATATATATATATATATATAAATAAGTTAAGTTGGCTCATCTCCGTGGTATCATTAATACCATCAATCTCCCTGTGTTCTTAGTTAATGTCCCACTTAGTTTCAATAGCTGCTTAATTTTTACAATAACTATATTTAAACTAAAAGAAAATTAAATTCGACATACTTTCTTCCATCTAATAATGTAGCCTACGTATTGAAAAATACGCAATATATAGCTTTATAAAAATTGTAAAAAATAAAAATAAAAATAAACATAAAATTCGGTTACCAAAATGTTAGTCCTTTGTTTAACCCATTTTCTGTTCACGATTTCTCTCTCGTTTATTCGCCCATTTATTCCACCTCCACCCTCCCCTCCATATCCCCACCTCAGCTGCTAAACGTTGAAAAATGAACGGGACCGCCTCCAGCTGTATTATTTTTGAATTTCGGCAATTGTTTGCCCACTTACCTAGCCTGGTCGATATCAATTTTGAAAATTCTCCACCTCATCCCCGCCCTGAACTTTTTCTATTTTTCCCCTAACGGCGTTGGCCTTGTTTTTATATAAAAAAAAACAATTTGGACAGTGGGTGGCGATTTTTGTTAAGCTGGGGTTGAGGTGAGAAGTATAATCTGGACATAAAGTATAGCTCCAAAATCAGGTGGTTTCATGTTTTAGTGGACAGGAAGTATAGGCACAAACATCAGGTGGTCAAAAGTTTTAGTGGACAGGAAGTATAAGCCCAATCGTCAGTTGGTCAAAAGTTTTAGCATTATCTCCTCTTATTAATCTCATCTAACTCAGGGTGCTGTTGTTGTGATGATTGACTTGTCCACTTTTATAACTTAAGCCTTCGTCAAAACCCTTTCACGAAACATCACACTAGGCTAGCTTCTCTCTGTTTTAGTGGTACCCACATTTCTCGTGTCTCTTAGCTTCCACAGGTTTTCCCCCACCCAGTATTAAGGGTGTAGAGTCAAGGTTGCGTCATACGACGTCCTATGACGTCCACTTCAAACGTCCCATGACGTTCTTTCAAAGTCGAATGATATCTCATTCAAGCGCCCCAAGACGTCTCCTTCAAAATTCACATGACGTCCTTTCTAAACTTCCTAAGACGTCCCCTTCAATAGTCGCGTGAGTTCCACTTTAAACGTCCTATTGCGTCCACTTCAAACTACCTTGACATCCCAATTCAAACAATCCATGATGTCCTCTATCAGCTTTAAAATATGGGTTTAAAAATGCGTGTCTAATAGTACGGAGTAGTTGGATAACACTGCCTAATAATTTGGTCAAAATTTTAATTAGTTAATAAAAAATTAATTAGGCATCCAATTAAGTCAACTTTAATGTCATGATGCATAGTCTTCATGTCTTGACCCACGTACCAACTACGAGCCGTATCTGTCAGGTAGAAGTGCCTGCAATTTCGCTCGGGCGTTTTGATTTAGACAGACAGACTGACGAGGAAGTGAGTTAAATAAAAGCTTGTTAAAAATATAATTCTACGAGTTTTATTTTTTCTAATATCTACATAATATAACCGAGCAGTTTCGTAGACACAAACTCTATGTAATTACTGTTGTATTATCACAACATTTCTGTTTGTCAGAAAATGTGCTGCCGTTTCGTTTGTTTACAAAAAGTACAATCTATTCACACGTGCGATCTATTCGCATAAATTCAATCAATTCATCCAGCTCTAACACTTTTAAAGCGAACTCTTCCCATCAGTCTAAACAAGTTTCGTTTCGTTTCGTTCACACCCCGTCTTACTTTTCAATTTGACAAAATCCTATTACACCACACACGTGTGAAGTTGGGTGAGATAATGCCGCGTATAAATACATTTTCGCTTTATTTTTAGCAGTTGCGAAACACTTATTTGATTAGCCAGTATCTTTATATCTCTGAAGGTCGAAAAAAACTTATCGTTTGGTTTTTCTTACATTGTATGCATTTTACAAAACGCTATTTGCTGAATATGTTATTTGAAAAAAAATTCTGTATACGTTATTTGAAAACAAATTGCAATAATGTTTCATATTTGTGTTTGTTGAAACTTTGTAGGTGTACATTTAAACATTTTTGTGTTCAATATGAAACTAAATTTTAGACATTGTTATTTAAAATGGGATGATGTGGTCTCGAGTTCGGATCCCGGATATGTGTAGAGCATCAGTCGACAAAGAGAAAGTAAAGAGGACTGGGCATCACGCTGACCACCCCAAGCGCCCTAGAACCCGGCAATCCCACCCTAGCCCCCCACGCAACCTAGCACCCGACCACCCCACCCTGGCACCCGACTATCCCACCATATCACCCGACCACCAAACCATAGCACCCGACCACCCCACCATAGCAAACGACCACCCAACCATAGCACCCGACCACCTCACACTCCCTAGCTCCCGACAACCCCACACTCCCTAGCACCCAAGCAACCCACCATAGCACCCGACCAACTCAAGCGCCCTAGCACCCAACCAACCCACCAATCACCCGACCATCCCCCGCTCCTTAGCACCCGACCATCCCACCCTAGCACCCTACCACCCCACGCTCCCTAGCACCCAACCAACCCACCATATCACACGACCACCCCACGCGCCCTACCACCCTACCAGCCAGCACTCACCTTTTAGCTTGGTTATACTGGAACTGATACCTCCACGGCGTGGTCAACAGAGCCTCCTCAATCATCACCGAGCTGACCACCACGTCGTAATCTCCGTTGTAAATCAAGACCTTGACCCTGTCCATCAGGTACGCCATCTCCATCTTGGTACTCACCATGACGTCGGGGCCGTACTTCAGAGACAAATTATCGTTGGAGACGTAAAAGTCCTGCCCTCCAACGTGAATGGCTTCTCGGACGTAAGGGTGATTCAACACCGACAACACTAAGCTGTAGTCCGCATCCTCCCCCTTGACGTAATTATCCAAAGAAGGCAACGGCAAGTCTCGAGTCAGTACAAGATCTTCAAAGAGCTCAAGAAAAGTAGAGTTCTCATGCATGCCCTTCGTGAAATTTTTATACATGTCTTTCACTTTTTCTTGGTTGGTCGTTTTGTCGTAGTGGCTGATGGCGCCGACGGCGTAGAGGTAATCGAAGAACGCCACGCTTTCCGTCGGGGGATCGAAGTAGGGACCGCCTAATATAATTCCGGAGAGCGGAATCTGTGGGGCGTCGTGCTGAAGTCGATACCCTAAAGCAGGGATGTATTTCCCGGCGTAGGACTGACCACCGAGGTATATACCGTTGTCTTTGTATTCCGGAAACAGGTCCATGAATTGCAGGACAAAGTTGAACAAGTCGTCGGTGTAGCCTTTTTTTGTTAGTTTGAACCCGGCGTCGCCGGATTCGGAGAAGCTGAACCCGGTGCCGACGGGGTTGTCAATGTAAACAACGGAGTACGGCCCGACCCAGGTGTGTTCTCTCAACCCGAATCCTTCCGAGCCGTACTTGCTTCTGTTCGCCTCGATGGGCCCGTGTTCCCATAGCAACCCCAGCATCGAAGACACCGCGGGTCCGCCGTTCAGCCATATCAGAAGCGGCGCACTTTCATTTGGCGAAGGGAAGTACCAAAAAAACAAGTGATTTTTCTTGACATTGTCCACGGTGATAAACCCCGCGTGGCTCTTAGGGAGGAGTTTCAAGTTTTC